TTTGTTTTGTTAGCATTTTTGCAGATTTACGTATCAGTAGCAGGAACATACTTAGGTACGTTTGTATGTATGAATGCGTGCGTGTGTATAAGCCATATAGAAGGTAGCATATACCGCAGAAGCCACATGCCAACCGCCACCCACTGTGTCAGTTCACCTTTGAGGCTATGGCCGCACACGTGCGCATTTTCATTTTTATTTGAAACTCATTAGTTGCTAGTGGATTTTATCATCAGTGAAATGCTGACACAGCACATAATACACTTGCCAACAGCAGTAATATAAATTGCCAAAGCAGCATGCTAAACATTTAAGCGAGACCACTAGAATTGAAGTAGTTTAGTTTTAAAGTAGTTTATCACGTGCTCTCAACTGAAATTAACTTCAACCCGAACTTAACTTAACTTCACTTGGCTGTTAATTAAGTTGGCAAGTGTATAAGTGGTTCGTTGCATTGTAAACGTGTATTGAGAGCTTTTCGTTTTCCCCATTATTCGTGTTTTTTTTTTTTTTTGGGTTTTCTTTCAGTCTATGCTACGCCTGGTTAATGGCTGAGAGGCGGCACGTCTGACAATTGGGAAATTGGAAGTTAAAACCATTAAATAAATGAGCGTCACACAAGAGTCACCACAGAATCACATTGCCGGTGGATGCTGTAGCAGCTATTTGGCATTTTTATCTCTTTCGATTTGCACAGTCATTCAATAACCCGCCCAATTCGGTTCAGATTCAGTTCGGTAGCCAGAAATGGTTGTGCGCTCGCTCGGTTGGGGTCTTGGGCATGGGCGTGGGCGGGGGTGGGAGCGGGGGTATTGGGACCAGGCAGCCATTCTGATTTGATGCCGCACTTTCGACAAAAGGCAAAACAACAAGCCGGGCAAACAGGAAACCCAGTTTGAAAGTCAACAGTTTTAACCTAATCACAGTGGATTTTATTGCCCCGCTGTCAAATCGATACGAGAAGCGAGCTGAAGATGCGCCCAAACCCGAAGATGTTGCCCCAGTTCAGTTTAGCTCAGCTCAGTTCAGCCCAGCCCAGAGCAGCAATTGTGGAGCGCCACAGGATGCGTTATCTGAAAGTCCCGAAAGTCGAAAGAATCATTAGGACTTTAACGCTAGTGCTGCGTAAGAATTTTTGGGTGCGTTAAGTGCCTCCAGGCACTTGGTTAGGGGGTCGGTCTGAAGGGTGCCCATGCTGTAAGCTCCCGATGTTATTTATCTCTAGATTAAATGGATTTGTGTGCAAAATTGTCTATTTAGCTCAGGCAGCAGTAACTGCTGTTAAGGAAGCCAGCTCATTGTTTGAACTTTTCGCAACGTTCACGATTTGATTGAGTTTGAGCATGGTACGTGAAAAGGGGAAATGGGACACGGGCGGGGGGGATTTGACAATGGGAAGTGTAGCTTAACGCTTCACAATTTGCTGGTTTTAAAGGCAATTAGAACTGACAAGTGCCTGTCGATTGATTTGGATTGGACAACGTTCTGCTTTTGTCTGCTCGGCCCGAAACACGTTGACAGGATTCTGTTGTGCTCCCAGTGTGTGTGTGTGTGTGTGTGCACAGCCATTAAGTGGATGTCAACCGGCTGGGCAAGGCGTGGCCCACTTTGAATTGGGTTAACCCATTTTGACAACTATTTCTATTTGTGGCTAGCATTTGATTAAAGTAGAAAGGACAGTGCGGGATCATCAAGCTATTGATTTAAGTTTCTATTATTGGGAACTCGACTATTGAGTCAAAGATGCTTTTTAAGAAGTATAACACGACTAAAGTCTCTTTTAAGGAAAGGAGTTTATTATATTAGCTACTAGCTGGAGTAACTCGGAGCCCGTTACCGAGGGTAGGTGTTTTTCTTCTATCCAAGTGCCATTCCTCCGCCTCCTTATACTGCTGTTCTTCCTTCTCATGATGCTACTCCTCCGCTTCCTTCTTCTCCTTCTCCAGTTGCTCCGTAGACTCCTCCTCCTCCAATGCTGAAACGTATGATGCCTACTCAAATTCATGAGAATCGCAGAGTACATGCATATAATGTGTATGTATGTATATGCACACACACGCATACATACACACATACACTTATGCACCCAAAATGATAGTTTATTAGATTGCCAGCACCACTTTTTACTTGAATTCATGAGAATCCTGTAGAAGGGCAACATACGTACGTTATTTTTTTTAATTTGTGGGGCAGAATATAGTAAACGTGGACTGCATTTGGTGTAAGAAAACATGCATGCATATATGCATTTATACATTCGCACATACACACATGCATATACACATACACACAAACATACACGCATACATACGGCCACACAAAATGATAGTTTTTTAGATTGCCAGCACCACTTTTTAACATAACACTTATAATTAAGGCATAAAGACCTGCAGGGCTTACTTGAATTCATGAGAATCGCATAGAAGGGCAGTGTATGGCACGCTTTAATTAAATGTATAGCGCTGAATGAAGTAAACTTGATATGCGTTTGGTATAAGAAAACATACATGCATACATAAACACCCACATGCATACATACATACAAACATATATCCACACACATGCATATGCACATACAAAGCGTATTTATATTCATTCCGATTATATTAACATATACACTGTCACGTTAATATAAACACACTGGCGGGTAATTCCCGGCCTGGCCCGTGGCCGGTGGTTGTGTGCTTCAAATTTTGTTTATAAATTCTTCATCATTTCCCGCCTGTAGACAGCTCAAAAAAAAATAAGTTTCAAGTTCATCGAATAAAGAACCAAAAGTTGAAATATTGTGGTGAGAATCTTGAAGTCCAAAAATTTACTTTCCTTAATTAAATTTTTTCCCGTATTTTCCGTTCAAGAAAATTGCAATTTTTTCACCAATTCACCACAGTTGCGGGTGGATTTTCCAAAATCGCTGAAACACGTATTTAAAGCTTCCCCCAAAATATCTTTACCCTCATTTTTAATCGAGGTGGCCTGCATTTGGCGAAAAGTGTGAAAAACTTCTCAAATGATTTTTCATAAAGATTTTTGAAAATTAATTTGGACCTAAATCTTCGACTCCCCTTTCCACCGAGGGGGATGGGTTTTTGGGAAAGTTTGAAACAAACAAGTTGCATACAATTGTTTTTCCCCAATTTTTCACCCTTGCGGGTGGAATTTCAGTCAGTGAATCGGGACAAACATATTTTATATACATACAAACATACATACGTCAACACTCTGTCCTCTTGTTACGAAGCTAGGGATAATGCTTTTGCAGCTAGCAAAAATGCATTTTATAACACGATAGTCTAGAAAATAATAAATTCATGCAACTTGCCAAAGTACAATAGCTTATGCCAGACAACAATGCAATCGATTTAGGATAACTTTCATATTTCGTGCCAGCGATTTTCCATTCAACGAAATCGTAATCTTAATGGGAAAATCGCTTTGGTACAGTCACTTTTGGTACTTATCGATGACCTGTGCAATCGTTGGCAACCTTTCGATTACGCAGCAATGCAACTCTCCCATTTTTATACACAAACAATGCCAGCAGCTACTCACAATAGACGCTGTGAAAGCTCAGCTTACAGATTAGAGTGGTCATACACACGAACTGACTCGTGCACAATGGCCTGGGCGAGGCAATTTAAAATAATAGTCTAATAAAGTTACTTAGCTGGCTCGCAACTGATTAGGTTGCCACTAGATGGGGCAAGAGTTTCCAGTCTGTGGCGCTTACCCATCTTAAAGCCAATTTCCCCCAATTTTATTATTGCGCTTTTTCCAGTTGGACAGCCAGGCCACAATGGCAGTAGTATCAGCACAACAACAACAACAATTTCTTATTGAGATAATAATGTATTGACTGTGAGATACCCTGTGGATATGTTATTGTGGGATATGGGAAATATATGTTTATAAATAATTGCAGACTTTTGAAGTGGATTAAAATATAAAATGACTAGGAATAAAATACTATTAAAACATCTCGCATTTTCCACCGAAGAGCGGTAGCTTTCGTGAAAAACGTATTAAGTAAATTTTCACATAGATCTTTGAAAATGAGCTTGAAGCTGGTCGAATGGTAAAAAAAAAACTTTCATACAACAGTTTTCCGCCAATGTACCAAACCTGCGAGTGGAACTATCAAAATCCCGGAAAGACGTATTTATAAGGTTCTCATGTAGTTATGTTCTTCCGTTTTTCGCGATTTTTCCACTCTTGCGGGTGGAATTTCAGTGATGTACTCGGATAGAGTGGATGAGAAGAGAATAGCTTTGAAAAGAATTTGAAATATGAAGAATCATTTTAATTAATTAAGAGTCGCATAGCCCTTGGCACTCGACTGGACTACAGGGTATGCAAACGTTGATTCGTTTGTTGCCGCGCTCGTTTGGGTAATGCGCCGCGTGCCTCCGCTGCTGCTGCTGCTTTAGCTGCTTTTGCTGCTGTGGCGATGGCCTTTTTGTGCTTATGGGTGAGAAATGCTTTCTTTATGTATTAATAGTACTCCCTTCTGCACTCGAGAGCCAATGGGGGTGCCCAGTTTGGGGGGTATGTGAGTGTGTCGGGGCATCGTCGGGCACATTTATACCGTGGAATGACTTTAGTGTTGTATCACGTAGTAAATAATTCCTTTGTGGCGTTGTCTTGGTTGGCTTTCGGTTCTGGCTTTCAGCTTTCAATGTGCCCTATGCCTGTCCTTTAACCGCTTTCACTGTTTACCGTTGCTCTCTTTTGCTGCACCAGAACCTATTCTATGTGGGGGCTTTGGGGCGTAAGGGGGCGCGGGGCTGTGGGGTATGGGGGCGTGAGATGTCTGCTTTTATTGTTACGCGGCAAATACAACATAAAAAAACGAACGTGTAAATGTTATTTCTTGATTTATTTTAGTGGTGCATGCAGATGCTTACGCCACCAATTTTTAAGGTTTTCGCCTTCGCACATTACACATAGGTAGACGTATACGAATCAGAAAACGACCGACAAAATATAAAAATTCCGCTTACCTTGCATATTTGTATATGTAAGTATATATGTGTGTATATATGTTATCGGTGCATCATATAATATTACACGTGTGTATCGTGAGTGTGTAGGTGTTTCGTTCTGTGAGTCTGTGGGTTTGACATTGTTGAGTTTGGCAAATTTTCGTTTCTTTGGCATTTTTCATTATATATACCCTGTAAATGAAAATGAAAATGTGAAAATATGCACATCATGGCGTATTCTGGCAAAAGTTGGCATCTTCGACTTATATTATTATATATACTTATATTTTATTTTTACTCAGCATTTATAGCCGAGTCCATATCGTGTTGTACACACAGATTAAGAAAAAAAACTAGCTACACAGATATGCCCTGAGAAATTCATAAAGATCGCACTATGAACATCAAATTAATTGAATTCATTTGCCGAGCGCTTCGTAATATTTTCGTCGATTTGCAAAGATCATCCAAAATCTAGGATCCAAATAAAAAGTTTATCCGAAATTTTTCTCTTAAAAACCTAAGAATAGTATGGACCGATCTATATAATTTTCCAAATTTTCCTTTATTATTAAAACGAAAGAAAAAATGTGTGTTCAGAAATAATTTTGCTAATAGAAACTAGAAAGAACGGCTATGCTCGGCATGCCGAATTGTATATACCCTTATGATAAGTACATTTGACCTAATTTAATTTACCCAATGTCTCCAGTTAGCTTGTAAGTAGAGAATACTATATGTTTAAAAAAATGTATGTACTATAACATGTACTAACTCGCAAATGTCCACTTTGGTTAAGATATCTTTAAAAACAAAAAAATTATTTATTCAAGAACTCATTTTGGCAGATATTTCCTAAGGTAACTTTATAGGGACAATTCCGACATATTTACTGTCTGCTTAAAGTCAGAAGACTTTTTTGCGCAGAAACAGACAGACGGAAATATATAGACTAGGTTGGTGATATTTTATAAATTTGTATACCCTCTACCCTCTATATAGCATCGAGATATTTCTCTATGGGCTTTAGCTCTTCTTTAAGGCAATATTTATAGTAACATTAAATTAGATTCTAATATATATTATCCGTAAATAACAATTCTTTTCTATTTTTTCAGGGTAGGGTATGTTGGCTTCGTTTTGTTTGTATAGCCTTTTTTTTTGGTTTGTATTCATACCTTGTCGCAAAAAAAAAAATGATATATATTTTTTTTGGATGCAAGAGAGTGAACATCGCGCATTTATACAATATTTGCGTTTCCTCTCAGCTCGTAAACGGCTGCCACTCCAAATATTATATTTTTATACCCTATAACAATAAAAATGCGCAAATATATAAATGCCTCAGAAAGGGTATAATAAAGTTGTGCAAATGTATGAAGAGGGGAAAGCAGGCGTTGCTAAACCTAAAGGTTTGGTAGATATATATATATGTAAAATATATTTATTGGAGCTGGAGATTTATAAGTTTATCTCTTTGTAAGTCATACGTAATTATATTATTTTTTATTAACACTCGCACTTTAAATAAATATATGAAATATATCAAGAAAAAGACAAGAAAACAAATATAAAACTACGTTTGCATTCTTAATATATATATCAATCAATAATGGCATTACTAATATCAAATCGATTTATATAATAGATTCCCAAGTGTGTTTGTGTCAGTTTGGGTTGCTCTGCACCTGTGTAAAGGGTATCTGCTTGTCAAGTACCTGCCATGAACTGAAGTGTTCTTGCATGTTTTTTTATTCGGGGTTTTGGTTTTCATGTTGCGTCTTGTGCCTGTTGACGCAAATTGCCAAAATTGCCTGCGGTTGTGTTTACATGGCGAATGTAACAGACAAGTGACAGCCGCACGCACCAAATTCAAATAAAAGCCAATGCCAATGCCTGCCAGGATGGTGCCTAGGGGGGGTTTCGAGTGGGATCCAGTATAGCTGCTAGGGTGTAAAATGGGTGGCTTGGCGAGTGGAGGAGCAATCGTGCGTTACATTATTTAATTCTGACATGTGCTTGAGGTTTATACATATATGTGCGAGTGAGTGTGTGTGTGAGTGTTTGTCTAGTGTGTGCCAATTCAAATTTAGGCTAATGTACCTTTGATATATGGATGCGGCTTTTCGTTTGCCTGCATATATATCTATATATATTTGTACAGATTGTATATATTTCTAAATCTGCATGTGTAGATAGCGCACAGTCATTTGTGGCCATCAATAAATAGATTGCCGTCTTTGATGATTTATGGCCTTTCAATACAATTTTTGTTTTGTCTAACAAACATAATCCCAGCCTTGAATAAAATATCTCCGTTTGGCATTCAACACAAATTCTCATTTTTTTAATGCAATTCAACAATATTTCCTTGCTTTAAGATCTGTGCCGTGATTTCATTGTGAATCCTGAAATGTTTGCTTTACATTTTTTGCCCCCACGTCTTGAGACATGAATTTAATTGCTTCGACAATTTGAATGGCTCCAGCAGCTACTGCCTTTCCAGTTTTTGCTCCTCAGGTTCCTTTGCTTTTTTTATCAACAGGCTTTCAACAGTTTGCTGCTGTCGTAGACTCTGTTGATTCTGACAGTCCCTTACATAAACTTCTCGCAGCATCAATAACTTGTATACTCCTTCATTTTCACAAGTGGGTTATATGGCCTAATAGTAGCTTCACTATATATATATGAATGGTGGGTTATAGCCTGTGGCCAGCCTTACTATACACTGTTATTTCTATTTAACAATAAACATGTACTTACCCAAAAGTTCACAGAAGCTCACAAGATTGCGTTTAATTGACAGTAGGTAATCAGACTTGTCTATGAAAATACACAACACTTAGGGCATAAACTAAGCAAAGGCAAAGGTAGTTAATATTTCGTTTATTTCTTTAAACTTTCAGCTATACTTGTTCTGCGTTTGTATATGCATGCATTCACACATATGCATACATACGCATGTTAATGTAACACATAAGCAAAGCTGCCCCAGTTTCCTCCGTTGCTAACTCGAAAATTGTTGCCACCGCCTCCATCAAAGTCATTGCCTCATCCTTCTCCCGTTCAGGCTGCTCCTCCTCTTAGTGCTCCGTTTTTCGCAGATGCTTTCCTGCTCCGGCTGCTCCTCCGCTTCCTCCTTCTGCATTATTGAAGCCTGCGGTACTTAGTTAAATTCATGAGAATCGCAGAGTAGGGCAATATCTAAAATTACATTTTTAACATACAACGCAGCGGGAAGTATAATTGGCCTGCGTTTGCTAAAAGAAAACATGCAGGAATACATGTGAATACATATATATATATGCATGCTTACACATGTGCATATACAAATACACTCACATGCGTGCACACATACATATGTATGCATACATGCAAACAAACATATATACACACATTCGTGCATACATACGGCCACACAAGATGATAGTTTATTAGATTTCCAACAACACTTTTTAACATAACTCTTATAATTAAGCCAGGAAAAACTGCAGGGCTTACTTGAATTCATGAGAAGCGAGTAGTAGGGCATTATATAATAATTCGTTTCTTTTAAGTTTTCCAGAGCAGCATGGAGTAAATTTAGTCTCCAGTTGCGAAGGGAACGAACATACATACTTGTATACATACATAGATGCATGCATGCACACATGTGTTCAAACTTGCATACGTGTTAATAAAGCACTTATAAGCAAAGCTGCCCCAGTTACCTCCATGGCCACCTTGAACATTGTTGTCGTCGCATCCTCCAAAGCCATTAGCTTCACCTACAGTTCCCGCTACTCCTCTTTAACCACCTCTAACCTGCCAGCGTTAAATCTGCCGCCTCTTACAGTGCGGCACACTTCAAGGCTTTATTTAATTCGTGAGAAGCGCATAGTAAGGCAATATTTAAAATATTTGCATTCAAAAATTTTTTTTATTAATTTTTTACATTAATTGTGGAATTTCCATAAATCTCCCGTCTCGTTGGGACTTTATAGCGCATACGGAAAATCCTTGATTAAGTTCCTTTATGTCCGAGCAAAGGGTATCTTCTAGTTCAGTATTGCAAATAGACACACTTCTACTTGTTGTATACACACTCGTATTTTATTAAAGCAAAGCTTAGCACTGGACACTCTCTTGAAGGGGTGCTGTTTGCCCTTATCAAACGCTGCTTTGGGCAGTCGTTTTTCCACCTTTTTTTGTCCTCTCTTGTTCTTCTTCAGGTCGTGTTGTGTAAGAGTTCCTATCTGCAGCCTCAATAAATCTACCATCGCATATCTTTTGGCCCGCTCGTGTTTTTACAGCATCAACAAAATAACTCAAAGTGTCATCCGAGCTCTTGAAGTCTATTGTGTTGTTATGCCTTTGTTATTGTTCAGTATTGTTACTGGGCCCGCCCGGTCGGGTGCCTCGAGCCCCCCTACCTTCCGCCTAGTGCCAACATCACTCCGGGCACTTTCTCGGAGCTATTTCCCCGAGATGTTTGCCATTGCTTATCCGTACAAAACGTTTGCGCTTTGAGGCTCTGCAATCGTTAGACGTAACACGTGTAACCTTTGTAACAATGCAAGTATTTGCCTGGCTTTCACAAAAATTGTAGCGATTGGCCCTTACGCCTATCAGAACACCTCCCACACCCCGGCCAAAGGCACACCCCCCTGCCCAACCGGAAGCACCATTTTTATTTGGTGTGCCTTTATTGTCGGGCTCTGTGACACGGCACCTAGTCGGAACGTTTGTAAATCACTATGCTAGTCAATGAGGAGCGGAGTGGGCAGGTAGAGACGGAGGGTGTGCCACTCGTGTATATATATTTATATATAAATATACTAACATATATGTGTTTTATTCATGACATTTTGGGCTTTGATAACAATCTAAGCAAAATGTACGGCATTCTTGGGTTCTCCATCTTGAAGAGCCCCAGATGTGCTCACCCTGAGTGTGTGTGTGTTTGTGTGTGTGTTTCTGTGTGTGCGTGAAGGTGCTTTTCGCCCACGCAACCCTCGATTTCCCGTGGCACCTTTATGTATTTTGTATTTGATATTTCGCACTTTGTGTTGTCCCGCCCCGCTGCCCACTTTAACTTTTGGGGGCCCCAATGCCAATGCATAGAAATTATTATATATTATAAATCATATGATGCCATCACATTATGCTCAGCCATACAATTTCCCATAATCGTCAAGGATCTCTCCTCCAGCAGCGGCATCTAGGGAAATTTTCAAGTCAAAACATTTGCGACCTTGACTTCCCCCTCACGTGTCATGAATGTGCTCAGTTCGAGATGGATGTGTGCGTGACGTCACACGAATCAACGAGACCGATGGGCGACACATTTAATTCATCTTAAATATCAATAGCGTTGAACAAAAACCTGTCGTAGCGTTAATATCATAGACTATATTATGTAAATGATAGATATATTTTAGAACGGTTAAATTATACGAATAATAATTTAAGGCTGTTATCTTCCAGATCTTAATTTTTCATAAAACAACTGGACAAATAAGATTCGAATAGTTATTTTGATTTATCTAACTTTCTTAAAATCGATTAAAAAGAGTTGCAGTTCTTAGATAATCCGAGATTAGCTTCTAGTCTAGTATATGGACGTAGTGTTATTTTAGTTAAAGCCCATAGTTTAACCATTGTATTTATCTTAGCAAATTTTGCCCGCATCTTGCGTATGAAAATATTCAATGCTTGAAATATTTTCAGTTCAACGGGCAAATGTAAATATAAAAAAACTAAGATGTTTCATTAAAATTTTGGATATATGAGAAACTAAGGCTTTGAACAAATCCAGGTTAACGTAACGCACTTCAGTGCAGGTTGTTGGTTCGAATTGTGAACCGTAACAGAATCAATAAGTTCGCAGCCCTGAACTTTAGCCCACACTCTCATAATAATAACAACATAACGAGCTGCCTAAAATGCCGAATAATATTGTGTTAATATGTATAAAATTTGATTACATATGCAATAATTTGGGCACATATAAAATAATGCAACGTAATAATACGCCCCCACACATATATATATATATATATATATGTATATATTTGAAGGAGCACCCACATTTTGCATGCTGATTGCACACAGTTGATGCTAATTATTGTTTGTACTGTTCGCATTGATTGATTAATGTAATTTCTGGTTGTTTACTCTTCGTACTTCAAGCCAAAAACGCAAATACGTTTAATTTGCACGTATCAATGACCCCCCAAAGTGGTCATAAAACGATTCAGATAGTAAACCTGGCGATGGTGCGATGTAATAAGAAAACGCATTTTGATTGGCATTATTCGCGTTTGCTTATTCGGATTGTTTATTTAGACTTTAGATAATAATTAAATGGTATAGTACTAGATTAACGGCAACGATCAGCAGCTGATTAATATTAATTGATTAATTGATCCATTTGCAATACTTTTGAAAGCGCGCCAGTTGTTTTCAGTTTGTTTGTTTTGTTTATAGCATTTGTTTATAACATACACTTATTAACAAATATCACATAGATATTCTAGCTTAGCTGCTAACTTAATTCCTCTAGTTTACAAACGATGGCCAACTCGGATTCGGCTTTTAATAATATTGTGACCCATTTTGAGGCTAGGCGAACCTAAACCATCTTCTGCATACCGTTTTCGTCATATATGATATTTTTTTTTTTGTTTTTTCTTTAAGTTTTTTTGTTGAAATATGTTTTGGCATTTTAGTTTGTGCATTATAATAATAAAACATTGGTGTGCTTAATACTATCCATCCGTAGCTGTATATACAACATGTTCTTCGTCTTGAACTTCTGCTTCTTTTGTTTTTCCTTGAAAATTTTTGTATTTTTGTTTTTTTTCGTTTCTTTTCTTTTTTTTTTTTTTGTTGCTGGTTATAGTAACTTTTCTTTGCGCGTAATTTCATAAGAATACTTTACTTTTGCGTCTGCGGATGTCTGCTTGGAAGTGAAGGTGAAATTAAAATGAGATCTTTTAGATACCAAAACAAAAAAAATAGAAGTAAGAAAAAAAAAATAAAAAAAAAATAAAGTTAAAGTTAAAGTTTTGCTTGTTTTCTCAAAGAGTTTTAACTTTCTTTTTATTTTTTTTCTTCTTCTTTATGAAATTTGTTTTTCTTCTATTTAGCCATCTTTTGTTTTTTTTTGCAAGAGTCTAGACCTTATCGTCAAAGTTGGAGACGGGCCTGTAGGAGCGCTGTTTGGCATGCAGACGCCTGATGTACCAGAGCAGGGCAGCAATGATAACGAACAGAAAAATGACAATAATGGGATAAAGATGTGCTGTGATACTATTCTGATGTACGACCTCCACCACCTTGGGAAAATCGTGGCAGGGTGGTAGCGGTGGGGCAGCGGGGCTGCTGCTCACAAAGTCGATCGGTTCAGCGCGTTGAGCGGTGCTCGTGGTGGTTGCAGCCGTTGTTGTAGTGGGGGCAGGTGGCGCAATGGGCAGCTCGGTTTTGGCTTCTAGATGCTGCTGATGCAGTTGCACCTGCTGCTCCTCGCTATCGTAGCCATAGCCATCGTCATAGTTGCGCGGCTTCTCGTGCGGCATTGGTTCACCCTTGGGCCAGCAGACCGGGCAGCAGCTGTCCTTCAGAATAACCTGACGTTCCTGGGGACAATTGACATGACCGCAGAAGGGTATAACACACTTCTGCTCGCCCTTGACGCACTCACACTGATAGCAGCCATCCTCCCAATTTTCGCCGTCCTTGAAGAACGTGTTCAGGTTCTTTGATTCGCATATGGCATTGGTGCCCTCGTCGCAGCTCTGCTGACAAATTCGCGCACCGGATGTGCACAAACAGCGCTGGCAGCTCTGCAGCCAATAGTAATCGGTGTCCCACACTTCGGTGCAGTTGGGCTCCCTTTTGCACTCATACTTGCCGCAACACTGGCCGGGCGTGTTCATCGCCTCCGGCTGCAGCTCGACCACAACCTCGCCCTCATCGCTGTTGCAGTCGGGAATGTAGCACGTCTTGCACACACACTTCTTGGACAGACAGCACTGGGCAAAGAGCTCGTCCGGCACCAGGCTGCTGTTGAAAAAAGACTTCTCCGTGGTCGCAATTGCTGCATTGACGCTGCCCACCGCATTCGAGCCGTACAGATCCACGGTATTTATCTCACTCATCTCTCGTATGGCGCTGTCCTCCGGGCACTGCATGTCCGCATCTGCCGGACATGGTATTGGATCGCATAGCTGAGGAATGGGTGACAAGTCCAATTCTGTTTGATAAAAAAAAACGACGCAAAAATTGAGAGAACATCTTTAGAAGCAGTCGACAAAATCACGTATTCACAATGAATGTATGGTGTACATGATGAAATGGATAGAAATATAGATGGCAATATGACATCGAGGAGGTTCCAAATTTTTACAGTATTTGCAAAGAATGCATGTTATAGATGTTGAATGGACGCAAGTGTAGCTGAGAGGGTTCCAAATTTGTGCAATATTCACAAGGATAGATGGTATAGATGTTGGTAAAGATGACGATATAGATGATGATATAGATGGAATAGATGTATGTGTAGCTGAGAGTATGACATCAGGGAGCTACCAGTTTTTACAGTATTTACAAAGAATGGATGGTATAGATGGAATGGATGTAAATGTAACTAAGTATATTACATTAAGGAGGTTCCAAGTTTTAACAGTGTTATAGATGATGACATAGATAGAATGCATGAAGGTGTAGCTGGAGAGTGTTACATTAAGGGGGATGGTGTAGATGATGAAATAAATGGAATAGATTTAAATATAGTATGACATCAAGAGTGTTCCAAATATTAACAGTATTCACAATCACTGAACTATCCATGTAGCTGAGTGGTTCCAATTTTTTTTTAATATTAACGAGGAAAAGATGATGATATAGATGATATGTATGTGAGTGTCGTTGGGCGTCTGACATCAAGGGATTCCAAATATTTAAAGTAATTTGTTGCTTAAAGCGTTCAAAGCGCTTTTAGGACTAAACATAATATAAATGGTTCAAACTGGAGGTCAGTTATATAAAAGAATTAATTTTGGTATTAGCCTCTAATCGGGTTTAATTTAAGCATACATATGCAGGATGTATTTATTTTTTTTAGCTAACTAAGCTTACGGCCATCTCTATCGGAACTGAGAAATGTTTACTTAAATTCAAGCATTTTTGAGCATAGATTTTATGCAAGCAGATGTTACCTCGCATTTCCCATTCTCCCCTTCCTTGCTGACCCTTTTGGATTAATGGAAATATAAATATAATTTGATTTAAAGAGGCGCCCCACATATTAGCCTTAAGTCAAACAAGGGTTTTCCGAGAATTTTCCGATCTTGTATCATTGAAACACCTCCTTATTAACTAAAGTTGAGAATTTCGTATGAAGGTGGATTTTCCAAAACGTGTAAGATACGTCTCCAAGGATTTTCCATATATATTCATATACAACATTTTTGATTCAAAGGAATTTATCAAACTTCAGTTAAATCAAGAAGCCAAGAGTACCCTAATTAGGATTCATCACCCACAGGCCGTCTTTATACACAAAATGAAACGTAACCAGTCCTATTAACGTCTTTTTTCATTTTACACTAGTCTGCAAATTCAATGTGCATATATAATTAAAAATTAACGAGAAACTCGCAGCTTTCTTCGTGTCGCATTATCTCTAATTGAATCGACAATTTCTGCGGTATCTGTGTATGTGAGTGTTTGCGAGTGTGCCTCTGTGTGTGTGTGTTCGCGAGTGTGTCTGTGTGGCGTGTTCGTGTTGGCAACCTTTCACTAAAGTCTCGAATTTACCTTTACACTCAGCCGCACTTTTGTTTGCCAATTGGGTTTGGCAGCTGCGAAACTTTGCGGCTTCCTTTGAGCTCCAAGTTAATTTGTCATTTTCACTCGCCCATATAATGGGAATTTCTTTTAACTTTTATATTTTTTTTAATTTTTCGTATTCTCTCTTTGTTTTCCGCAGCATTTTTGGGGATAAATAACAATGAACTTTGTCCTTTTACTTTTTGGCCAATTTAGAGGTGAATATCTCTTATACAAATCGACATGATTTGCTCGTGAAGGAATACGAGAATCTCGCAGCTTGCACAAATTATGAACTCTCCAGCTCCCCTGCCTGCCAGCCTCCCCCCGACCCCTCTGCCTTACGCACTCTGCTTGGTGCCGCGTGTCTGGAGTCCCTGAACCACCTAATCACCCGCCCTGTCGCGTCACGCTGCCAGCTTTGAAGGCCCTTCAACAAACTTCTTACACTTTATTTAATTAAAGTTTGTTTTTTCTCCTAATTTATTTTTTTATTCTTTTTAGATTTTGTCGGTCTCTGTCGTCGGCTCTTATCAGCGGGGCAGCTTAGACAGTTGGGACACTTGTTTCCCGCTCACATTTTGTATTGAGTGCGCAATTTGACTTTGAAGTGTAGCGCCAGGGCGGCGGGTCGCAACAGAGGGGCGGTGTTGGGGTTTAGAAGTATATACCTATATGTATATTATATATATGTATATGTAAGAAAAGGCAGTGCTTGACTGAGCAAGAGAGAGAGAGAGAGAGTGAGAGAGACCATGTACTCAGGTTTAACACACACTAAAAGCCAGTCGAATAACTCACAAATACCCTACATGATGCTCGAACGACTTTATATGAAAAAATATGATAGAATTTTTATAAATTACTTTATTAAACAAGCATCTCATTCTTGAGACTTTGCTCTTGATTAAAATATATTTAAATATATTTTTTCTTTGATGATAAAGAAAAAAAGTTGTTTGTCAAAATGTGGGTTAGGTCCAAGACTACTCAAAATATCTCCCTTTTTATGCAATTCAAATACATAGATATTTCTTTTCATTTACTGGGTATCATTTGCTGATCGAATTGTTCAAATGTTCAAATTCTAAATAGACTCTTAATATATAAAGTCTAACAGTTAGAAAGGGTTACACAGATCGACATCGTTTAATCATCTTGATCTGTGTTGAAATTGCCTGTACACAACATCATAAGTATTTTAAGCAGACCAAGTTACAGGAAGGCTGCTGCTAAGCGCAATAGTGTAAAATGTGAATGAATTAGCCTTCAGAGTGCGAGACTGCAATGCCAAGCAACTGTCAGACTAAACAGTTGGCGAGTCAGCCAGTCAGAGGAGTCCGGGACCAAGCCAAGCCAAGCCAAGCCAAGGCAGGCCAATCCCAATCAAGGCAGCTCAAAGTTGTGGCAGGAGCAGGACTAGTCATACAACCAAGATAAAAACCGCACACTCGTGTGTGGCAAGCGGAAAAAGTGGCAATAACAGGACAAAGCATACAAAAAGTTGCAGCAACATGGACAATTTTTTTTTTTCTTTTGTAGTTTTTTAAACAATTTTTTCTTTTATATTTCCCTCTGTTAAACTTATAAACAGCGTGGAAAGTTTACCGTAAAGGCTAAAGTACATATACAACTCGAGTGTTTTGCATTTTATGTTGCATGAAAAGGAAAAGGGAAAAGAAAAACGGGGGAAAAACTCTTTAAAGGAAAAACTTTTTTAATAATACAACGACAACGACAACAGCAGAGACGACATCGACAAACGCAGGGGACCGACAACGCTTTGCAGACTCTATGGGAAATTCGCCCACAAAAGTCACTGCAGCCGAACTGTGTGAGGAATTTAAATTGTAAGTTTATCTCTTGACACTGATTGGAATCACGATTTGAAGACATGTCTCTGCAGACAGCTGAGAGCTTGCTAGCTTAATGCCAGAACACCTGGAAAATTTGTGGCAATGACAGGTAATCAGCAAAAGTTGCACTAAGCGCTGTCGGATTACAATAATCTTGACTGGAGCCAATCTTGAAGATAACAAAATGACAAATCTTATGACAATTTTTTGGAAAAATATTGGCTATACTATAAAAAAAACAGCTCTATTAACAAGCTGAAAGGCGAGGTTATAATTTTAAAATAAAATCATTTCTTTAAGATCCTTCGACGATCCTTGACGGTTCCAGCTTTTGGGAATTTAATGTATTTCAATGAATAATCTCTAGAAATTTCCAAGAAAGTATTAGGAGCTTTACGAGTTTTCCTTCTAGTACAGGTTCGAATAAGCTAGAGTCTAAGAGCTAACAGCTGGACACTTTGATACTTTATGATCCTCAAAGACATTATTATCTATATAAAGTACGTAAAAAGCCAAGTAAAAATTCTTCTTATACATTCCAAAATAATTATAAATAATTCTTTAGACATTTCTCCCACTCTATGGGTTGTCCCTTTACGCTTCGTTCCTTTTTTTATAAATATTCTTTAATTATCTCAGTGCACTGATAAAACAAGGTTTAGTCAAGGTTTTGATTATTCAGGTTTTCACCCTTTATTGTTATTCCATAGAATCCTTTTGTTTCGGGGCCGCATTCATGCCTGGCGCGTTATCTGGCTGAGTGAACGCCTTGGCTAAATGGAATTCAATCAGGCTAATAGACATTGTGAGACAACGGGGACAGCCAACGGGGATAGCAGGGTGTAGCCCGGTAATCGTGATTCAATTATGGACAAAGCATAACTAAAAGGCCCGGCCTCTCCAGGTGTGTGGCCCGTTCAGTAGTTGCTTAAACTTGGTGGCACTTAGTATGTTGCGGCTGCACAGCGCCCACTTGTTGTTGCAGCACTTGCTAACGAGTGGCACGTTGCGTGCTCTTCACCTGCTGAGCCAGCTGCTCGGCCTGATGGCTGCCACGAGGCCGCCCAGCATGACGGACGGCCTGGAGCGGCTGCAGTGCAGCTCTTATTGGCGCCTGTATGGCCATCTAGTCCTGCTGTTCGTATTGTGCTACTCTCCGTACGCCTTCTACATTGTGTACACTAGGATGGATTTTCTGCGGCAGAATCGTCTGCTGCTCATCGTGGGCTGTCATCGATATGCGCTGTTGTTGTGCGCGGCTCTCGTCACGCTTTACAGTCACACGACCAGGCAGCTGCGCATCATCGCGTGGGTAAATAAGCTGATTTGGTGTCGCCACCAGCTGTTGGGGCTGCTGCACACGACCAGGCTGCAGGAGTCGGCACGTGTGCTGCACACGCGTGACCATTTGACTGTATACGCCTTGGCCCTGTCCATTGTGTGCTCCTGCAGCTACACAATGTTCATACTTCAGAATGATCCCATGGCACATCGCAGCCCAATGTATTTCTGTAGTGTGCTCTTCTTCTACGGCTGCCAGCTGAGTCTCCAGGTGTGCTTGTCAGTCTATCTGCTGGGGCTGCTAATGATTAGCCACCTCACACATCACTCTAATCTCCTCCTGGCCCAGATACTAGACGATGCCGTGAACATTCAGTACGCACTGCTCGCACGCTGCCTGCCCAGCCGCCGGCGCTTGCACGAGGCCCAACAGCATTGGCTGGCCCTGGAGCTGTGGCGTCTGTGGCGCCTCCATGGCCAGCTGATGCAGCTAAGCAGGCGTCTCTGCTCGTTGCATAGCATACAGTTGCTTGCGTTTGTGGTCTTTGCCTCCACTGAGCTCGTAATGCATTTGTTTTTCTCCTACTTTGTGACCTTCAGCCGCTGGTGGCTACGCAAATTTGGCAAACCCGCTCCCTGGAATCCCCAAGGGAGCATTTTCACCGTATCCCTGTTCGTGCAGCTCACATTGGTCGTTGTGCAGACACATCGCCTGCAGCAGGTCTTCAAGACGACACGTCGCACTCTGAGAGAAGGCGCCCTGGCGTTGCCCGCCGACTGCAGCAAGGCGCTGAGGCAAACGGTAGGTATCGCGGGGCAAGAGAGAACAGCTATATGCGGAATGCCAGAATTTGAATACCCTGGCAGACATAGACCATATCACATAATAGATATGATAGAAAGTTTTCCATTCAAACTATATAGATTTATATGCTAAAGTAGACCGATCTTAATAAAGTAAACACAGTGAAGCTTGTTAAGATAGATTTGGTTGGAATATATCTTCAAAAGCTAACAAGCTTTTCATTTAGAATCGGACTTTCTAAAGAAGCTTTATGTTATCAATTGATCCGATATTTTACTTTTATAAGTAAAGCCCGTTAATTTTGAGTACTTTAAGGAACAAAGAAGTTTTTATATTATAATTTGATTTATGTTCTTTTGCTTCGATGGATGATATAGTGAACCTGAGAGATTATTTGGCATAGAAACAGGCTGTAAATGGATTTTGAGTTGATTTTCTAAAGAATTTCAGAAATGTACACGAAAAATAAAAAAAAAATACATTATACATAATATATAAGTATATCTGTTGTTTATCCATTGCAGCTGCATCTCTATGGACTCCACCTGCAGTTGAATGAACGCATTTTTAATCTGACCGCCTGTGGACTCTTCGAGCTGAACAATGGCCTCTTATTTGGCATAGTGCAAACAATTATAATCTACACAACGATACTCATACAATTTGATAAGATCATGAACAGATAGGGGCAATAAAAATGATGTTTGCACAGATCGAGATATATGTATATAAAGATATATATGTACACACATAATTAAAGCAAATATTTGGCAGACATACCTGTCGTTGCACTGGCGACATTCAGCTGAATCCCGGCAAATATTGGCAGGCACATTATTAGCATATGGTATATGCACCTGGCCTCGTGCGGGTTCAACATTTTCCAGCCTGTAGACTGTAATTTGCTCAAGGGCTTCAGATTCAACAGAATCGATCTAACCTTGAAGCCTGCTCTCAAATGCTATCAGAGCTATATGGTATATATATTGCTCTGTATATCTGCTGCTGTTGGCTTTATTGCAAAATCAAAACCAATTGAATTTCGTTGTATTTCATCTGAAAGAGAGGGGAAGAAATATGAAATGAATTGTCAAATATTGTGCCGTGGTTTTATTCTCTTTTAATGAACACACCGAATACATATACATGTATACTATAGTTAAATCTCCTTCATAGGGTTGTCACGATGTGTGCAAAGCTTTGCTCGTGCCAGTTCCTTAGAAACTTTAGGTATACTCAGGCAATATATCTCTAACTGCCTGTTTATACCTGGAGTACATATAATAGTTAATATAGTAGAGAGCTTTTCTATAAATGATATTTGCAGCATAGTTGAAAATTTTACTCATCTCATATATATTCAAAATCAAGGAAATATTTTATATATAGCTCATATAATAAATATACGTATATATTTTTTTTGTTGGGTTGTTTTCAGGCATCCTTATCAAGCTTTGAGCAAATTTCAACTACAATATTATAGAGTATTTAGTGTACGGCATGGCGCAGATAAGTGCTTGCTGCTGTTTTGTTTATTTTAATTTAATTGCAGTGCAAAACAAGGCAGTAAACACACTGAGAAGCGTTACTAAGTCACAGAGGCGGACGAGTGGACCGGCGGACGGGTCTGTTGTATCACTGCTAAAAATAGCAACCTTTTTTGGATTTGTGCGAATAGTTTTAATGACCGGAGGCAACCCGAAAGCAACCCGGCAACCGGGCACACACACAGAAACACACACACACATTTTACTCTCATGATACTCGCGTATCTCGAACAGACGCCGCAAAAACCGAAAACTGAACAGTGTTTTTGGGGCCCCGAGTGGCAGCAAAGTAAAGCAGAAGCTGATAAACGTGCCACATGCGGCATGGGACGAGTTCAGGTAGTTGTTATTGCAAAAAATCTCAACCTGAGATTGGGGCTCGCATCAATTCTGCTGCCTTTGCCGCATTCCATGAAGCTTACAGTGAACCGAACGGACCTCGGCGTATCTTCTTTTCATATGCATTCAATCAATTGCTGAAATGATTGAAGGACTTCCACATGCAGTTGCCGCAACTAATGGGCCTACTGATGAGGCCGAGTTGGACGCTTTTCTCGAGAGCCCGCAGTTACCTTCAAAGTTTTGTTTCAAGCTCACTTTGTGCCCGAACAAATGACGGGGCTGACCATGGCGTAGCTTCTTTTCATACGCATTCAATCAAATGCGAAAATGAATGAAGGACTTTCGCATACAGATGCAATTAACGAACGTATTGACAAGAGAGAGAGATGGAGGCTGTTCTCGAAAGCCTGCAAGTTACCCTTAAAGTTAAGTTTTAAGTTTACGTATATATGCACTCAATTAAATGCTAAAATGATTGAAGTACTCTCGCAAGCAGCTATCGACAAGCAGCTATCGCAGTTGATGTACCTCTTCGAAAGTAACAAAGCTATTCCCGAGAGCCTGCAAGTTGCCTTAAAAGTTTAGTTGAAGATCACGTATGTTTTTTAATGCATTCCATCAAATGTTTAAATGATTGAAAGACTCTCGCTTATAGCTGTCGCAGCTGATGTACACATTCGAAAGAGAGAAAGCTATTTCTGAGAGCGTGCAAGTTACCTTAAAAGTGTAGCTGAAGCCTTTACTTAAAACAAGACCGAGAACTGTGAACACAATTGAAAACTATCAATCATGCAGTTAATCGAATTGTTAATTAATCAACAACGCCGATTGCACACTTCCGACTGCCTTTGAATGGAACGAAAACGTTTCTGCCCATAGAATACTATAATAAATTGTTTGTGGTTTTGTTTGTGTGTGTCTGTGCGTCTAAGTTGAGTCTATTGTGCTTCAATTCTTTATTATTCCAATTCAATGCACCGGCTGCATCAATTTGAGGCAACTCTCTAAATATTTACAATATTGATGACTTGACTCGGACACCCCATTTGGGTCTTCGAATTCTACCTCATTATTGATTGGACTGCGAGGGGATTCATGGATTACTCATTCAATGTCTTTGTTTACACCATGAATTGAGTGTATGGAGACTGTTCAATTTGCAAGGAATGTGAACTATAAACAGCTAGGCAGAGTCATAATTCGATAATATTTTTGAATATTGAATAATGAATAATGAAGTCTTTTATAAGGCATTTTGTTTATATACTTTCTGTTCTGCTAGACATGCAATTTACGTAATACTTGAAACAACAAAAATGCTATAAATAAAGTCAAATATAAATAGAAAAGCAAGCTCAATAAATAGATTGGTGTTAAAAAGATTTAGAGGTTTCAGCTTTTTATAAAAGGAGTCTTTTTGATCGTATTAATTGGCAGAAGTCTAGAAACTTTACTAGAAGAATATATTTTTTGCTTTTAATAGAAAAACATTTCATAATTGTGGACAAAATTTCAGCACAATTCGGTGTTATTGGAGTTGAATTATGTGTCTAATAAAGTGCTTAACAGTGCTTTCTCTTAACTCTAATGCTCCCCCCCTATCTCTCTTTCTCTCTTTCTGTCACTCTCTCTCTCTACACTGCGCAAACTTTAATCTTTCTTCTGCTTTACCAACTTTCTTATCCAATTGCTTGGCAGCAATACACGTTTAGCTATGTATACTCTTTTATCTAACTATCTATTTTAGATATTTTCTCATATTTTTTCCAGCTAATATTTCTGTGTTTGTACCAGGTGTAGTTATGTATGTACGCGAAACTGTAATCTGTCTTTTGCTATGCGTCTCTCTTTCTCGCTCTCTCAACATATTTGTGTAGATGACTAAACTTTGATAGCGCTTGGGCTCTGCGTACTACACGCTGTTCGTACTGGGGTCTTGAGCACTATGTTTGTCTGCTTAAAATCAACAACAACAGCAACAACCACAACAACAACCACAGCAACAACCACAGCAACAACCACAGCAACAACGGCAACAACAGCGATCTGCGAGCATAATGGAGCTTTGTAGTTGGCTGCGATAAGTACTTGCGTCTGCTTCTTGTGCCCTCTACACCCTGCTTGAACACTCGCGTCTCATAGTCCAGAGTTTGGCAGTATTTTTGTTGCTTTTTCTTTTTGCTTTTTGTTGTTTTTATTTTTGTTTTGTTTTTTGGTGTAAGTAAGTTTTTACCTCGAAAGCAAGATGAGCTTTATGATTGCCATAAATTTCACTTGAATGCGAAATCTGATGCATCTATTTCATGCCTTCGTTTTGCGCTTTTTAACTGTAGTTGTTGTTGTCGTTGTTTTGCTGCTCTTTTTTTGTGCTTTTTTTTTTGTTTTGTTATTTATCTTGAGATGCTACACATGCAAAACAGCAGCAACGTCGAAGTTGACGGTCTCCCCTCGTGTGCATGTGTGTGTGTGTACAGAAATACTTATGCAGATATGAGTGAATGTTGTGTGTGTGTGTGTGTGCTGGCGTATTTACTCGTGTTCGCGTACAATAATTTCACGTTCAACAACTTTTGGCTTTTTTGATGAGCCAGCAGCAACAGCAGCACTTGAAAGGGAGGGCGAGCGGGTGGTAACGCGGACTAGTGCTGAGGGAGGGGGTGCGGGGTGACAGCCGTCTGTCTGTGTGTGTGTGTTGCTGTTGCTGCGGCTCGCTTGTTGCCATAGCTACCGCAGAAAATTAAGCTCGTCATCTCTTTTGCACGCATTGCAATCGGGCCAACATAGCCCGGCTCTGGCTCTGGCTCTGACCGGGGCTGGGCTGGGCTGGGCTGGCCGGCACATCGGTTATGCTCTGGGCCTTTGCTTTAGTCTGTGGCTCCGATCGACCCTTTAATACACTTGCAAAAAGGCATAATTGCTTTCGTTTCAAGTTTGCAGCGCAATGCATAAAATGCAAACTTCAGCGGAAGCCGACTGCTAAAGTTTGCCATGAGGTTACTCATCGGAGTTATCTTGGTCTTTATATCAATAAGATAACAGTAGACAGGAGTTTTAAACCGTTCTAGTAAATCATTTCACAATATCGCTGCAAGATTTACCCAGACAGAGATAATTGACTTAAATAGCAGTAAAAGCTATCTGTACACATACATATTGAACGACCTGTGATTAAAAGGGTTGGTATGTTATCTAAAGCTTATACCGGAAAAAAGAACTGAACATAATAAAAGTTAACGAATTGTATTTTTCTTAAGGATATTATCTTGAAAGAACTGTACTCAGTAATTTTCTGACGAACTTTGTGTATATTTAATAAACAAAAATGATTTTTGCATTTTGAGCAATAATTGTTTATCAGACGGACTCAAGATCATTTATCATTTGAAAAGGGTACCCAAAATGATTCCGGACAGCAACAGCAACAGCTACAGCAGCAGTCGTTGATTGGCAGAAGGCAATGCAAATCTTGAATTTATATAATTAATCATATTAATATAATCGGATTACTTGGGGATCGCCAGTTTAATATGCGCTTAAACTTTAACTGACACATCCAATTGATGTCAACTTATGTCTCAGTTAGAATTTAACAGCGACCTTTACTGCAACATTTTTTCGGGTGTTAAAGTTCACAGATCAGCGCCAGAGTTTATGGGCAAAGAGTATGAAAGCTTCGACTCTTACTCTCAGAGTAAGCTTTGCTTTCTTGGTTTTTGGTTGTTGTTGTTAATTTTTTTTCTCCGTTTTTTTTTGCTCTGTTTTGTGTTTGCTCTGGTTTCAGCCGCGGCTCAGCTTACTTGACAGCCGTCGAGGAGGCCTCTCAACTAGTTCACGCTTTACGCTTTAATAGACTTCCATGGCTCATTTTGGTACTTTCGGATAATGCGACCACAGCATACGCACGCAAACACACGCAAACACACACAAGCACACGCAAACACACACACACGCATGCATACAGAGAGCCATACACAATTATTCGATCATTGCTCGTTTATTGAGCGATATATTTATTTGCTTCCACCTTTTACGCATGTCGCTTTGCGCTTTTAACCTTGATTTTTGTGTAAACAAAATACACAAACACACGCATAGCAACTACAGACACAGTCATGCAGCATATTCTCGTTTATGTGTGTGTGTGTGTGTGTTTGTGCTGCTGCTGCTGCTGCTGAGCAAAAAAAGCTTTTGGCTTTGTGTGCGTTTTTCATTTGTCTCTCTACGTGAGTGTGTGTGTGTGTGCGTTTGTTTAGTTTCTAGTTTACTGTACATTTATTAAGTTACCTATTTATAATTTGTTTATTATTTAGCAAATGCCAGTGAATAATGTTTAAATATAGTAGTGGCCAAAAGACAGAATCGACCAATAATGAATGTACACACATGGAGAATGGAATGGAACGGAACTGGAAACCCTAGCTCTACAATATAAACAAGCTGCGACGAACGTATTTTCTTCTTTTTTTTTTCTTTTCTAATATACACGCATATGTATGTAGTATGTGCCGTTATGCGCTGCGCTATGCTCGTTCTGTGATATTATTAGATATGCGCTATCTTATCTATATAGCATACAGTTGCTGCCCCGTATGTGTCTGTATGTGTGTGTGTGTGTCTAACTATCCAAGGCCCCGCGCACTAGAATCAACGGAAAACCCAACATTGGCTGCGGCTTATATAATCGTCAATAATATGTGCATAGAGTCCCCTGATTATAAGGTGCGGAACCCCTTTACTCCGGCATGCCCAGAGACTGCGGCATTTTTTAGACGCAAAATGCCATCGCACAATACATTCATACTTATGTATATAGATTATGTGCACAATCTGTGGAATGCGCACTGAGCCAAGCGGTGCGACGCGGCGCGGGACGGAACGAAACGCTCTACACACCTGCCACGTAAATTTTGTAAGCTCTCCAATATTCAGAGCATAAATATCGTTTATTTTGTACGTTCGCTGGCTGCGCCCCACGACTTCACATGCTGCTTGGCTTTGTCGCTCTGTGCAGTTTATTCACTTTACACCTCACTCTATATTACACCTTATTTTCTTTTTCACCTCTTGCTTGCGCGCTTGTTTTTCGTCTCGCGTCACTCTGTTTTTGTTGTTGTTGTTGTTTTTTGGTTTTAATTGCTGAATTACATTTACTTAGTTTTTCTGTTTCGTTTTTGTGGATCTTATAGCATCTTTGCTGTGTCTCACATCACATCACAACGCACACTGACACCGACTGGCCCAAAATTCTCGTGCTCGTGCCCCTTTTGGCTATCACTCGCTCACTAAACCGTTGAAGTTTGCGACATACAATTTTAAGCTCGCTGCTCGACGCTCGACGCTCAACGCTCGACACCGCACGACAGCGACGATCGTCTGGCAGCGCACAGTGGACGCGCGTCTAGAATTATGTGCTCAAAAATTTCGACTCTTACGACAACATATCAACAACTGCTGCCTACCTGCTTTGGCGAAGAGCTTCCTATGTGCATAGAGAATAGTCAAATTGAGCAGTATACAGATATATTATCAACACAGCTAACATATCTAAACGTCAGCTGATCACCCACTGTCAGCCGGTTTGCGGCGCAGCACTTAAGCATCATTCAGGCTCTCACACTTCCACTCTTTCGCTCCCATTATAAGTGGTCAGCCGGCCCGGCGAACCGGCTAGCCGGCAACCTGTGCTCTCGCCATTTCTGCTGCTCTTCTGAACGTATCGTTATGCTCTCTTTGGTCAAAAGCTCTAATGAGCTTTGGGTAAACAAAACATTACTATATGCATGCATAATTAAGTGTGTAAGTCCGAGTGTGTGTGAGATGGATATAAGCAATTCTTTTGGCAAACTTTTAACATGCGTCGCAAACAATTTTCGAGCACGCCATAAATTTTCACACACGCACACACATACACATAAAAACAATCAAAAATGGTGCCGCTAAGGAATTTTTGGTGTGCGTTGAGTGCATCACACGCACTCGTCACGTGCATTAATTTCCATTCCAATTCCACGACCGATCGATCAATTATTCGCATATACATGTGTATATATTGTACATATAGAATTAAAAGATCGTTGCCTTCATTCCGATTTCCAGGCCAAGGCGTGTGTAAAATGCAAATGCAAATCATGACAACACCCTCGCCCTGGCGGATTAATGTAAAAATGCAGAAATACAATCGAATATGCATATTTGAATGTTTCCTTGGCATATGCCAAGTGTTTGCTTGCAGAGATCGTTCAGGTGACTAATTGCCCAGATCAGGGAGTATGACTAATTCTCAGGTGCTGTCATTGCATAAAATAGCTACAAAACTGATATTGTATAAATAAAGATGATCTGAACTGCAGCAAAGAGCTGGGCATAGCCACATTGTAAAAAAGCACATTTAAATATTTTAAGCTTGTGATGTTTATGTGGAAAACTTGGGCGCTTTTATTTATTAACACTTCTGGAAATTGTGAACCATTAATAAAAAAAAAGTGGATAAACATGTACAAAAATAGGTTAATACTTTTTTATGGTTAGCATTTATTGGCGCTACAAAACCAGTCCAAAGTTCAAAAGCAATCCCATAAAAAGTTATTAATAAAAACTTATAAAATTTGTTAATTAATTGCCTTTGTGGCAAAATCTCGATATTAAATAACAACTTTCGTATATTTATCATATCAATTCCTGATTTAATGCTAATTAATAATTTATATTTATTGCTCAATAATATTTATGCCCATTAATATTTCATTTGCCTAACAGAAGTTCTTTTATGAGGCATTAAAAATAATATAAATGATTACAGCATCAAATATGCTATTAGTTAGCTAATGTCCTGCTGCAGGATTCGTTACAATTTTGTCAAGTTTGTTTTGTTTATTCTTGAGTTGCTATGACCTGATAATGGCGCTTAGTTGTAACTTAGTTGTGGCTGCTTAGATTGCTGCTACAATTGCCATTAAATCTATAGTTTATTTCATTGTGCATTTGGCTTAACAATTTTCATGGTCAGTTGCCTCCGGTGCGACATTAACTGCCGCAGATAACAGCAAAAAGGCAGCCAAATCCTTATAATGAAATAAAAAGACATAGCCAAATAAAGCGACGACAGCTCGACAGGGCGACAGGACGACAGGACGAAAGCTCGACAGGACAAGAGTACAAGCAAAGCCAAAATGAATAGCAGCAAAGCAACTCAAAGCAACAAAAACAACATCGATTTCACTTTAACGAGCTTGTAATGTCCCAAAGACGAGAGTAGTATATAAAAAGCGTTATGTATACGACATGTGTGCTTGCTGTGGGTGTATTTCACTGTCTCAGCGCGTCTTTGTGCGTGCGCTGTGTGCGTCTGTGTGTGTGCATGTGTGTGTGTGTGAATGAAAAGTTTCTGAGCTGCTGTCACAGCCTAATAGGATAATAACGAGCCAAGGCAAGCGAAAGTTGTTGCGCCTGCAACTTCCAAATAAAATATGTAGCCAAACAATAAACGATGATAAGGGGCCAAAGAACGTGTCGTTTGCTCAGCCTGATCCTAGCCCCAATGAAGCTCAGCCTTCTCATCCTGGTAGTCATTATGCCAGTTCACTTAGCTCTTGCCGCCGAATCGGTTGGCTGTCCGAAAGGACAACGCCCGCTGGAAAAACTGATAAGCAAACGACTTGCGGCAAAGTGCGCGTATAATGCCCGGCATATACCCTCCCCCACCCCACCGCCCCGAAAAAAGAAAATCAAAAGAACACAAGTAAGAATAATGCAATCGGGTCCAACTGACCGCGTAATACTCGTTCACAATCCCCTTAGATATTTCATGATTGAAACAATATTTCGATATCTAAGATGGAAATTATAATTATCGTGTAGCTCGCTTTTATTCCAGGCAGAATTTGTTTAGTATTTGAATAGTTTACTATTTAAGAGCTTTAATATCGTATTCAAAATTTAAATAATTTTGATTTTTTGGTTTTTTAAACTCAGTTTTATTCCAAGCAGAATTTGTAAAGTATTTAAGAGTTTAAAAATCATATTTAAATAATATTTATATCCAAAAAATATATAAAATTAAACAGATAAAATATTGTTATAAAACAATAGAATTTATAAAAAATATTTTTTTAAAGTTACTTTATTGAAAAAAAGTTTTTGTTTTAAGTTTGACCTGGTTACCGAACCCTTGTTTGAAACTTATTTTGTTTAGTAAATTGAGAGTTTTTCTATTTTTACTTATTCTTAAGAGTTTTGTTGCTCGGTTTAAGCTGATGTATGCTTACTTTTAGTTATTTCTATTGGGTTTCAAGTATCGCGGATATTTAATTTAAGCCCATTTCAACATAAATTTAGTCTAACCTTTCGCTACGTAAAGTCAGATTATGTTTGGATTGAAGTAAATAAGTCTCTTTAATAATCTAGAGTCCAATTATAGTCGCTGTTGCTCTTGGCCGATAATCTTAATACTTTCACCTGTATCACAAGACAATATATATTCTCTAACTTCAATTGCATTCATTCGTATAGACAGACAGAAAACCAATATACCCATTATACTTTGTGAACGAGTATACAAAGACCCTGAAGTGATGCGATGCGATGCGGCTTTTCAGTTGCCCATATGGGCTGGACAGAACAGGGCAGGGCAGGGCAGGGCAGGGCAGGGCGGCGGAGCTGGAGTTAGAGCCGTAGTCGAAGCCGGATAGGCGTTGCTTGTAGCTGCCAAATGGTAATTTATGGGCGGTGCGCTGCCAAAACTGGTAGGCGGCTTTAAAACTGTTGCTAAATCGTAGTTGAAAGCTAAACGGATGCTGCATACCAATGGCAAATTGAATTTGCCGCCAGTTCGGCCTGATGCCAGGGATAAAGCAATGATACGAACGGCTCTTTAGTGGCCAAATCCCCATTTGTGCACCATCTCAAAGGTGGCTTTAAAGGCTAAACTGCCAACAGGGAATTGACTATGTCACTGAAGGGTATTTGGCTTAAACGAATGACTTTTCTGCCATAAGTCTAGCTTGAAAAGTCACATATGCTGGTTTAAGGCAGGTTTAAGAAACTAGAGGCGTGCTTTATACTAAATCCCCAGGCCGATTTTGGTTGATGAGCTAAGTTATAAATGCAAGCAACAGAACCGTGCTGGTAAAAATGACTAAGGCTACAAGTCAGGAATTTATTTTGGGGGAATTACGAGTCTAAAAGTCGATTGGGACACTTAATGAACTCATCTAACGATACTACATAAAAGTATTTATTGTAAAAACATTCCTAGACATTCCCTAGACCTATCTTATAAGTTATGCTAAAAAGTTTGATTGTGTATTGTAAAATACAATACAGACAAGTCTAGGCAAAATGGACTCAATTCCCTGCTTGGTATACAGTTTAAAGTTAGTTTAAGATTAACAAATCAGAGAATATAAGATTAGTCCCTTTCACTATTTCTATGTAGCATTATATTCTATTTGACTACCTTTCGCGCCCAGCCACAACCGCTGTTGGTTAAGAAATTCAACAGATTTCCCACTGATTACTGGTTTTCTCTGCACACACACACACACACACACACATATAGAGGGAGAGAGAGACAAACGCACACATTGAGAGAGAAAATCATCTCGACAGCTGTACAAACAAGTCATAATTTGACGAGGAAATCGTTGCCATCGTTTCGCTTCCTGCTTCCTGCTTCCTGTACATGGTCCCTTTTCCGCCATTTAGCCATTAGTAAGACCCCTAAACGTTCATTGTTCAAAAATCCAAAACGAGTTATTTCTCTAGCGAAGTCTTTGCCAACCCTCAACCCTCCACCCCCGCTTGAGTTGAGCACTCACATCTTCATTTCCCTATCCTGTTCATCAGCTGGCAAAATGTCGCTCATTTATTTTGATTACCTTTTCAGAGGCGAACGGGAAAAGCGCCAACAGATTTACTCAGCTATGCGTTTTTCATTTCTTCATTTCATTTCATTACGTTTTATTTTTGCAGCACATTTTTAATATACCCCAGAACATTTGTAGTTTTATCTAGAGCTCGCCTCCGACTGCCTCGGGCAGGGGGCAGGGGAGGGGGGGCGGATCGACTCCTTTTCGGCTTGGCTGTTCGGTTTCCTCTTGAATTTTAGTTAAGAGCTGAATCATGGCCATCAGCGTTGATGAGCTTTATTCCCCGGTGACACTTTTCGCTTCGTACAAATTTAGTGTGGCAAATTTTACACACTCACAATCTTACAAACACAAACACACAGACACACAATGGGCAGTGGGCAATAATAAAGTTGCTAGAACTGAGTTACTTTTGCCAGCCCTCGCCCTTGATTCCGTCTTGGTCGTGGCTTGGTCCTGCTGGGGTTTGGCTTCCGTTTCGTCTTGACTTTTGGTTTGCCGTTGTTACCAACGAAATTCCATTATGAATCCTTGCTCATTGTTTTGTGCAATGTCGGTTTGTGGGTTTATCAAGGGCATGCCCTTCCGTTTGCCCGGGGTAGCCTACCCCTATTCGCCCCGCACTGCTCGCCCCTGTCCCATGCTTCGCACTCCCGTGGCATACACAAAATTAATATTACAATTTTTGCGCTGGGCTCGGTAATGGGTTCGGGGCCGGGGTCCTGTCATAAGAGTGAAATTATTTCAGAAAGCATATTTCAAAATGAAATTTTCTTGCGGCTTTTTGCTAAAACAAATGTTTGGCCTGGCCGAGCAATGGGGTCTGCCGTTTGCGGGGTGTGGCGGCGCGGCGGGGCGGGCATTCTGGCCTGTTTTATAATGAAATAAATTTCGTTTGCTCATTGAGTCGACAAGCAGCCTGGCCGACATGTGTGGCCGGGCATGAAGACGTTGTGGAATTTGCATGCATGTTGCCCACCAAAGTGGGACGGACGCATTAGGACGGACTTTAAGTTTGTGGCCTGGCCGTGTGCTCAACGTCACAGTTAAGGTATTAGGTCTCGGCCAAAATGAAATATGACATGGCTGACAAAAGGATGGCTGGCAGCGCGCATCTATTGCCTGCATACACACACTCACACACACACACACACACACAAACACACGTGTCGTTTGAGCCAGGAGCTGGCAGCAGCAGAAACCACAAACAGCAGGAGCAGGAACAGGAGCAGCTGACCAGCTGACGAGCAACACCCAATAGCAAATATTTTGCCTCATGTTGCGCACTATCGCTGGCTATAACAAAAACATCTGCCCTCTCCGCCCCGTCAGCGCTGTGTCCCTGTATACCAGCTGTCCAAAGGACTGTGCATTAAATGCCACTCTGGCAGCCAGTTCGCTTTAGCTTCACTCATTTCCAGGACGATGACGATGACGATGACTGGCCATGAGGATGAGGATGAGGATGAGAATGACGATGACGATGACGGTGACGTCCAGAGCCAGCCAAGGAATTTTGCGTCCGTTTGTTTGTTCGTTCGTAGGAAGTGAAGCCAAATGCTGTTGCAGCAGGCATTGCACATTTTCAAGCTTGTGTCTTCGTTGCGTCAGCGTCATAATTACACCCTGTAGCTTTAAGCTGAACCAAAAGCGGGCATAATGTAGCCTCATTCATGTTAAACATGCAATAGATTCGAAAGGAAAAAAATATATGCTTCAAATAGATATAATGTGTGCGTTTTATAACAGAAAATATGTTTTAAGCCCTTAAACCGTTTCTCCCAACTTTCCACAGTTGCGGGTGAAATTTCAGGAAGGGCTTTGAAAGGAGGTTTGAAGACGATCGAACGAAAATTGAATATTCCTAAGCTTAACCCGTTGTACCCCATTTTCCACTCATGTGGATTGGATTTTACCAAGTGTGAATGATGAAATGAATTTTTACAATGATCAGATGGTAAATCAAAAACCTTTAAAAAACCTTTTACCGCCAATTTTTCACTGTAACGGATGGAATTTTCCAATTTGATCAGTCTTTCAGAACAAAAACTTCAATATATTTTATATAGATATAGCAAAGAGATTTGGTATGCAGGTTTTGGTTTACATTTTGAAAATTCTCTATATTTTCAATTTCTCAAAAGCTTCAGCCATTCACCCGAATATCAAATGACATGCTTGTGCTTAACCTCTCACCCATATTTTGAGTTCCTTAACAATCGATCAAGGGGTATTTTTGCAGTCAAGCACACGCCACTCGAGCTCTGAAGCTTGTCTTAAAGATAAACAAGTCGACATTTTGACAACCTAAATACGTGCTGGTAACAGGATGCGGCTAATGTGGCCCTGGATATGACTTGAGCTGTTCATCTGGCTGCCGTTTTATGGAAAATTCCATAAACTTTCCACAAATAATCGAAATCAACTTTCAAGCTTAAAGTTTGGTATATGCCTGCAATTTATATGTAAATTTGATTAAGAAAACACTGCAAGGCAGTTGTTATTCGACTTGGTTTTCTCTGATCCCAACCCAGCGTCCCCTCCCTACTACCACGCCCCTCTTTTCACGCTTGTCGTAAGTAATTGAAAGAAAAAATATGCATTTGACCAGCGTCGTCCTTTCGCTTAACTAATGTAATTTAAAATGGACGAGTGGCAAATTACTTGGCCTTAAAAACGCGCTGGCCCGCATATCCCCAGACTTCCCCCCGCCCGTTACCCGCAGACTGAAATGCCGTTGCGTAAATTGCCCGGCGCAAATCCCTTGAAAACAAAAATTGTTAAAATAAATTGTGTGGGCACTCGCAAATTGGTTTGGCTTTATGCTTGGCTTAATTTGTAATTCAAATGTTCCACGCGAATGTTTGTTAAATGCGAACAGCGCGATCTGGCAACGCCAAGGATCGCTAACAAGTGCAGTGTGGTAAAACTCAAGGGAATATTTTACACTGTTTGAAGTAAATAATGCGCATACGTATAAATACCTGAACCTCTCTATGCGATTCTCAATCATTCAAGTATGGTTTCAATAATTTTTATTTGTATATTAATTTGAAGTAAATAATGCGCATACGTATAAATACCTGAACCTCTCTATGCGATTCTCAATCATTCAAGTATGGTTTCATTAATTTTTATTTGTATATTAATTAAGAGCAAGGGAAAGCACTTGTGAGAAGTGAGATAGAGAAAGTGTGTAATTGGGATTTAAACTAGTGGAGCTGTGGAAATAAAGTGTTAATTTACTTTATTTATTAATAATCGATAAAACAAGTGTAAACCCAAGTATACAATACGTATACAATTATAAAATTAAAGCCCAGAACCATAAACACAATTCAAAAAGGAAAGGAAAGAAAATGAAATGTAGGGAAATTGTAGATATCTTCAATGCTCTCTAATAATATAACATACTATACGATTTTTCTGCTTGACGACATTTAAAGGATAACTCAAAACTATTCTTGAGATAGAAACTGATTCATTTTGAATATTGCTTTGTTTATATGGATATACAGTTATATTTATATGCAGCTTATATTTAGACAGACTTACTTAGTCATTCTGAACAATTAAACTGCCATGCTGTTACCTTTAGGAATATAATTATATTTAAACTCGAAGTTGGGAGCCGTTTCCTATAAATAGCTACACTGACCTTTCAATGTCTTGGTTCAAATTATATCAGATATCTTTTTTCGGACACGAGATATCCGTTACTTGACAGCTTCATCCAATAGCTTAAAGAAACAAAGCGCATGCTTTTTCTTTTATATTTTCCAATTAGCAATTATAAAATGTGTAAGACCTGAGCAATCACTAGAGAGCTACTTTCTTTAATCAAGCCACTTAAGTTCAATAAAAAATAGAACATAATGCTGTAAAATGGGGCCTACACACCCAGCTGCTGGCTATATGCAAAGAAATGTGTTTTCTTTTTCCTGTTCTTTTTTATTTTCACAGGAAAAATGGCCAATAAAACTGTCATCAAAAAGTTGTAAAGCAATGAAAAGAATTGAGAGAGTACGAGAAGAAAAAAAATAAAATGAAAAAAAAAAACAGAAAAATAACAATTGAGAAATTGAGAAGAACTGGAAGGCAAAAGTTTTCGCCGCCAGCTTTTGTACGAAAATGTATTAATAAATAATCGTAGATTTATGTTGCATATACACAAAAGCGATTTACATTTAAAGAAATGCCCCCCCCCTCCGCATCTTGTTGCATATTATTTTACACTCAATCAAATTGTGCTTAACTTGAGCGCAAAAGTCGGGCGAATATAAATATATATATATATGTTCTATATATATCAAAGTATTTATTTTTTGGCATTTTCGCTCGGGTCGGTTTTGTTATTGTTGTTAAAAAGTTTGCTCCACTCATAATTCCCGATTGCTCTTTAGTTCAATTCTGTAAAAGGGGGCGGCGCTGGGCAGCGCCATGCTTGATAGGGTGTGTGTGTGTGGGCTGGGGGGGGGGGTTGGTAAAACCCGCAACCCGCATTGGCAAGTTGTTTTACGCAACATTTGCTGTGGCCAAGAAGCCCCAAAAGACCAAGGAGCAGCAAAGCCCAATGCCAACTTCAACTGAAAAGATGACTCGAACGTCTGTTTTCTTTACTTCTTTCTCTTTTTTTTTCGCTAATTGGAAAAGTTGCAAGTTGTGCGGGCTGCGGTATGTGGGTAACCCTCCCCCTTCCCCCACCATTTTATTCGCTAAATGTGCTCATCTGATGTTTTCAAGTTCTGAATATCCTAGTGACTGGCTGTCCATGGCGGCTTTTATGGCATTTGGAATGCTTATTAGCAGCTGACACGGCGTCAAAGTTTATAAAGCATGAGATTTTACACTCGTAATTGCCCATTAGACCACACTTCGGGGGCTAGACTGAAAATATATATATATATTTGTATATATATAGATGTATATATTTGTCTGGCTGTGATGTGTTCTGATGCCCCTTAAGCTGCGTCTTCCTGCGCTCTATGCCATTGTAATTACAATAACCGAATGACTTATATTTTGTGGCAAATGCTTGGCATCCGTTGCCCGTTGCCGGTGCTCCTTGTCCGTCGCCCATCGCCCGTTGCTGATAATTTTGCCTTCCAGGCGTTCCCTAAAACCAGAATCCCCGCGCCTAAGACTAAGATCCCATTAGAGCGCCTGCGCGCTCTGAGAGCGTCCACGAATTGAATAGTGGGAAATTTTTCTGTGTGTTTTCCTTTGGTTTTCCCTGTCAGCAGGACCAACTGGCAAAAGGTGTTCAATTCGGTTAGTCAGTCGACTGCCTCAAATGGCCGCGTGTGGCAGACAAAAGCGCATGAAAAATTCATGAGAGAAAAGTGCGTCATTATTATCAACAGAACATCATCATCATCATCAGCAACATCGTCGCTGTTGTTTGAATCGAACGTTGAGCGGCCAATGAACGGCTTTCAAATACCCAAAACATAGAGCCCTAGTGAGACCTAGTACAACAAAAAAGCACGTCGCTAGGTGCTGCGAGCCAAGGTGTGTGTGTGCGAGTGTGTGTGTGTGTGTTGTGTGGGTTTGTGTGCGTGTATCGAGTATGTGGACAAGTGGCTAACCAAATACTTGACTTTCAGTTTGTGTAGTTTTCATAAAAATAAAAGAGAAATTTCAAAATGCAGACACTCAAAAAGCTGCCATTCAAATTGAATGGCAAATCGAAAAGTGCTTGACAAACGAGCGTAGGAAAAACAACAATATATGGGACAAGTGTGTGTGTGTGTGTGTGTGTGTGTGCGGTCAAAGCCAATACAAAGACACAACTGTTTCGCTCTCAATACACAATATACACAAATAAATATACGTAGACACTATATACGTATATATGTATATATGCTTAGTATATAAACCATGTCACACAAAGAGGATATCTTGATTATTTGGCCATTCGATTCGGCCGCCCTCCCCCCCAACCCCAACCCTATCTCAAAATCCCGCCTGGCATCGCCTGTTCGTGAAACGAACTCAAGTATCTTTGAATTGTTAACTACAAATTAGTTTTTGTGCGATATTCCCGCTTACCGTTTCACTTGAACTGCGACAACTTTACGCATTGCATACTTTGCGTCGCGCGTAAATAGCTATCATTTTGCAAGTTTCTTTCTGCTCTTTAAGATAAGTTGGCCCACACACGCACTCACACAGAGACAGAGAAATGCTATTGAAGATTAACTCTTGTTTTGTACTAAAATAGAAACATTTTATAACCGCAAAAGTTTTGCCTAGCATCAATTCTGAGTTAATTTTGCATAACAAAAAACTTTATATAGCTTTGGGTGTGTGTGTGTGTGTGTGTGTATACACGTGTGTGTGTGCGTGTGTTCCGCATTCGCCACAACAATGCCACAATATTTCTCATGTGTAAATTAAATGAAATTTCAGTAATTTATTCGCATGGAATTAATTGAATTCAACGAAAATTGCATTCACTGCATGGATGTGATGAATATTTTTTTATGGCATTTTTCGTAATTGATTTCAAACAGCAAGTCAAATTTTGACAGCATATTAAATTAACAGATATGCGCTGCAAAAACACTTTATCCAATAAGGGAGCATGGGATATGAGCAGCATGTTTATGGAAATAGTATTATGCTCATCATTTTAAATATGATACAATTATAGAAAGCGGACAAAAACGAATATCAAATTCGAGTTTCGAGAAATAGGCTAGACTCTGAGTTTCGGGTTTCCATTTTGAATTAGGTCTAAAGAAATGAAATTCAAAGAATAATGCAGCTCAAAAGCTAATATAATATATATTTTTTTATTATTGTATTATTATTATTATGGTATTATTTTTATATTATATTATTTATATATTATTTTTTACTTATTCGCTGGCAAAATAAGAATACATTTAAATATTGGACTTATTTCGAAATGAATCAATATACAATAAGACAAATTTTATAACTAAATTTAAACAGACAAGCCGACCAAATACCAATATTCTTTACTATATTTGCATGTAGAAAACATAGTAGATTGATAAATTGGACTTTAGTCGGACTGAATACATATATAATGTTATATTATATTATATTAAGGCAGACAGGCAGATAAAAAACCTATATTACCTATACTATGCATTAATCGGGATAAAATTAACAAGTAAGAGGTTCTAGTCGGGAGCTCCCGACTAGCGGGAGCGATAGGTATAAAATGAAAGATACTTGTTATATAACTATTATATTCTAGAAGCTAAATGTCAAGTTTGGTGACTCTAGCTCATATTATTTACCAAAATTGCGCAAAAAACAGGATTTCGGTATCAACTTTTATCGATTACTTGGAAACGGGGAAAATGATCGATTATCGGAAACAAACTCGATCTGCGCGGGCATTAGGAGGACCTACAGCTAAAATTTCAAGTCTCTAGCTCTTGTGGGTTTTGAGTTCCTTGCGTTCATACATACGGACGGACGGGCAGACGGACAGACAGACGGACATGGCTAGATCGACTCGGCTGCTGATGCTGATCAAGAATATATACTCTTTATGGGGTCGGAGATGCTTCATTCTGCCTCTTACATACATTTGTACAAATACATAATACCATTTTTACCCATATTCAATGGGTTCAGGGTATAAAAACGATAAGCCAACACAATGAAAAGAGGAAATTTCTGTTTTAATATATTTATGTGCTTTTTTCAGATTTATCAACTCAAGACATTCCCAATTCTCTTCGAGTAGTCATATTCAATTTCCTTTCTCCTTTTCGCAGTAAAAAAAAATCATTTGCGATTTAATGCGAACTCGTGAACTTTACTCTGTCTCTCATTCTCTTAAATATGCTCAAACTCCTTTCCTTTCTCGTACTCTGGCCTGACTGTCTGTTCTTCAAGCAAACAAATATATATATATATATATAATATATAAAATCATGAAAAGCCTGCCTAAAAGTATGTTTTATGCAGTTAACTGGAGTATTGTGGGAGATTGTCGGAACAGCTTTAGTCAGTCATCAGTTATTAATTTGGTTACGGATAAGTAAATATTAATTTAGTTATGCAACAGTTAAATTGTACGCATGTTCAATACACGCATGCACTAAGCTGATATTTAATTTTATTATACACAAATTAATTGGTCGAATTTGCATTCGAAATAGAATGGAACCCAATTTAATATGCGACGCAAAAATATGCTATGAAAAACAAAAATAGCAATTGAAACAGAAACAGTTTTCCATGCGCTGCAGGGGGCGGGGTGGGCGGTAGGGTTAGGCCAGGCACACCGAAAAGTATGCTGGCGCCGTAATGCGGTAAAATTAGGCTGAATGTCATTTCCCGAAATTCATGCGGCACTTACATAAAAGCCCATTAAAGCCCCTGGCCACTGGGCGTGGCATAGTTTATGGCATTTTAATCATTTAAGAACGCTTTGGTTTGCAGTCAACATGCAAATTGCTGGGCGAGCTACGGAACAAACCAAACAGACCGAACCAAAGCCAGGAACACAATAAAAATTGCCTATAAATGGGCGGAAGGGCAGAACCTAAGGGAGTTGGGCTTGTGCCAGCGACTGTGTGCGTGGGTGCGAGTTCGAGTGCGAGTGCGGGTGTACTCAATGCCAATGGCATGGATATAGTCGTACGCACAAGGACAGCAGCGAAGAGGAGGACGACAACAACAGCAGAAGGAGGAGCGGCAGCAGCAGCAGCCGGAACGTCAGTCAAACAGAAGAACAACAAAGCGAAACTTCCGCATAGGATGCGAGGAAACGGAAGTTATTTTGGTCGTTTAAACGTACGGATCTATCTCATCTATTTGTGCTGCTATCTGCTGCTGATAATGGCAGCAGCTGGCAGCAACAATGTGGTAAATGGACTCAAATGCTACTGCAATCCCAAGGAATGCGATGTCATACGCGCCCTAGACTGCCCCGGCAAGGGCCTAATGCTCTGGGATCCCTGCCAGTAAGTTACACTCGACTCCACATAAATATCATTCATTTTATGCGATTCGATTCGTATTCGTATTCGTATTCGTATTCGTATTCGTATGTGTGTGTGTGTGTGTGCTTGCGTGTTTGCTCTAATTCTATATTCAATGTGCAGATGCTGTCGCATTTGCGCCAAAACCCTCGGCGAATCCTGCGGCGGACCCGGCGGCTTTTCCGGCCAATGCGAGCCGCCCCTTCAGTGTGTCACCAAATTGCCCATTAGCAGCGGCTTGGGCGTGTGCATGGGTAAGCAGCGAGTGCAAATATTAACTCATAAATAAATATGAATAGCTAATTCCAATATGCAAATATGAGAAACGGGTTAAACGTTTCGATAAACATAATAACATTCCATTTACCAACTACCATTAAATATAGTACTATATCAGTCTTTATAAAGCTCACGACCTGCGCGTGCATAAAACTAAGCGATAATCCATGATTAAGCGCATAATTAAGTATAAAGAAATTTTTGTATAAACAAATAAAGTTATTTAAATTAGGCTAAATTAGGTTCAAATTGAATAAACTGCGCTTTTGCATATTTCTATTTTAGCCTAATTATACTGCTTTGACAGACGCGTTTAATAGTTAATTTTGGTCTATCATGAACATGGCTAATAATTAGTTGTTGCTGCTTTTCTTCGGCCAGATTTGCAACACCTGACGGCGCTCACATTTAATCAGCTCAGCAACTGTACGCAGGACGAGTCCATTGTCTTGGAGCCGGGCTGCGAGATAACCAATAAACGCTGCCAGTGCTGGCCCACAATGCGCACCTGTCTTAGCCAGTTGTCCAGGGACGGCGGCTCGCCAAGCAATTTGCGTTGGCATTTCAAAAATCTCGAGGTATATTGGATATATAACATATTTATCTGGTTATTAAGTTTAATATTTGTGTGCAGGACTGCCAATTGAATTTGCAAAATCTTATTAAACTCGAATTGGAATTCGATGAAGACTATAAAATCTCACCGAGCAAATTTACCTACAAAAAGCTGCGCAGAAAGCGAAAATCGCTGAGAAAACGCCTGTGAGTTAACATAATTTAGAACTATTTAATTTATATTCATTTAAATTCCATTACTTGCAGCATAATTTTGGAGGACGGCGTCTCCTCGCAGGCCATATAAAAGTCCCTCTTTCTCATAAATACAATTCTTGTACAGATAGTAATGCTTACTTCTATGAAATGTGGCTAATATAAATATGATGATAATAAACAGCATATGCATATACAAATACAAACAAACATATAAATATAAATACATATACATATATATATACACATACATGCATGGGGTATGGCAAATATAAACTATTGTATGTATAATCCCTAAGACATTTGTTACTTTATTGTTTTTAACAAAATATGTGCGCATACATAATGTATTATACATTGCGAATTTCTATTCCTAAACTAAAGAAAAAACAAACAAACAAACAAACAAAAATACCTAAACAATAAAATTAAAAGCATTTTACGAATGTTGTTGCTTTCAAAAATAATGCGATTATGGCAAAGCATCGAAATTGAAATTGAAATATATATATATATATATATACTATACATATACATACATAAATATTGCCAAAATGGATGTGTTATATTTTTTGGGCGCGCTTTTGTAGTTTCTTATGTACAAGCTTTTTAAATTAATTATTTAAATATAACTTGAAATGTTACAATAGTTGTTGTTCCTGGTGATCTGTACTAATTTTAAAAAGTTTAGGCTCTAGAACTGAATGTTTTTTGTTTTATCGTACTCTAAAAAACTATTTCTCCAATAAATTTCGCTGCTTGTAAAACTTTTGTTAATTTCAAATTTCGCGCCAATGCTGCGCTATGCTGCTAAGCTGATTGCTATGACACAAGTTACCCGTTTCACAGTTGCGGTTAAGGGCAAACGAACGTTTGCGCTTTACAACACTGGAGAAATTCCCTCTGCAGTTCGCCGCGCCACAGCCTCAACGCACACATGTTTATTCGCCGCAGCAAACAAGCTTTGCATACTTTTGGGCTGTGTGAAAGTTTTACTTTTTTTTTTACTTCTGAAAAATTTCAAAAAAATTCAGATTTTCAAACAAAATCAAAATCAAAATATGCCAGGCGATGCCAGAGATCCGTACGAGTTCAAAAAGGTATATCTTTCCAAAATCGGACCATTTTTAGCCGAATTATCGGAAAAAAACGAAAAATCTTCAAAATTATAACGGCATTTTTTCGCGTTTTTCAAATCGCTGTATCTCGGCCCCGATCCCCGATCTTGGAAAGATTGGTCGCATTCGACTCGTGGTCACTGCCATTTTCAGTTAACATCGAAGTTTTTGCAAAAAACCTAGTAGTTTTTCTCAAATTGGGCCATTTCTTAGAATTCCGATTTGTTGGTGTCAATCGATAGTCGGCATCCGTACGAGAAAAAGAGGTATATCATTTCGAAATCGGACAATGGGTACCCGAGATATTTCAATTTTAATTTTAATTTCAAAACGTCAAAACGTCAAACAAATGCAGACAGCAGAACTACTAAAATTCTGCTAAAAACCGCTACAAACGGCTATAAATGGCTATTTCTCGGCCAAAAAAGCCCGATATCGGGCAGATTGGGCACGTATGTTTTTTTGGAAATGGCGATATCTCGGCTAAATAAAGCCCGATTTCGGAGCGATATGCATATATATAATAAATACTCTTTCTACTCGTACGGATGCCGACTATCGATTGCCACACAAAAAACCGCATTCACCGCAAGACAAACCATAATTTTTCTCTGTGCGCTCTGTACATATAGAAAATTGATGAATGGCTTTAAGTCGGGCATTAATTAGCAGACAATTTGTACTCTATAAAAAGTAAGTACATATACTCTTCGAATCGAATTCAATAAATAGCCAAGACGATCTAGTCATAGCCATCTGTCGCGGTTACGATAGGGCATTTGCTAGTCGAGCAAATTCAAAGCCGGTTAAAAATGTTAAAGAATCCTGCTCCTGTTCTTTATTATGCATAGCGTTTGTTTTTCTAAGGCTACATGCATGTCTGTACTCATAAAATGTTTAAGAAGAAGCACAATTCAATGGATGATTTTGCCGCCAACAAGGATATCAGCAACAACAGCATCAGCTCTTATTATTTTCAGTCGTAGCTGATGTGTCACTGCTGGCAAATTTGGTGGAAATTCATCGGCAAGTACCGTATAGTTGCGTATTGCATAGAGCTGGTTCTATTATTAAAACTTGGGTATTATAATATATATATCTAATAAAAAAGCAATTTGTACTCACGCCGCGAATTGGACATTTTTTGGGTAAATTGCTGACGCTCTGAATGCGTTTAAAGAACTTTCCGTAAATAAATTTGCTGTTGACGGAGCTCAGAAACTTGCAGCCATCGAGTCGAGTGTGCGCTAGGTTCATTTTGGTGTTATCCTTTTTGAGCAGATCCATTTGAAAGTCTATGCTGAATTCATTCTGAGTTTCGTATAGACTGAAGAACACAGATACAGTGGGAACAGTGCGCTTCCGATGCACGATACAGGTTAGTTCTTTCCCAATTTTGGGATCAACAATAGCACAGCTAAAGTTCTGCAGTTCCATTGTGAAGGATCGCTGTGGGAGTAAAGAGAAACTATTAAATGTAATCCTTAATGAGATAAATTCGATGCCCACCTTGGCTGGAACAAGGCTCCACAGAGTGAGAAATACGAGCGACCACTGACAAGCGCGATAATCCATTTTGTTTGGCAAGAAGACTCCGTTTAAACAGCTCAACGCAGCCGGTTTTATAGAATGGGAAAGCTAAAAAAAGACAACAAATAAATAAACTCATTTTAATAGAGCAAAATTATAATGAATATCGAAAAACATTACACATTTCCACTGTCAACTCTTAATGTATATTTAATATCTATATTGATAAGCAACGATAAGCAAATTAATTGTTTAATGCATCATTAACATTATGTCGTTTCGTTAGTTGTGTTTTTTATAACAAAACAAAATCAAATGAATTGGAACGAAATTGTGAGAAAAATTAATTATAAGTCCATTCCAACCGATAGCGACGGAGAATTTCAACATTTATTATTGCATCAAAATAAATATATAAAAGTCAAATATGGCTACAATTCAGGTTTGAATCAGAAATATTAGTTATTGTAACTATTAGCTTGGATAGGTACAATATTAAATCGAATTTTCCATATATTTAAAGCCAGGTTCTAATTTTCCGGAATTGAAGGGCTATTGGGAACAAAAAAAAAATAATTTAAATTTAAATTCAGTTTAAAATCGTGACATTTGCTAACTTTACAAGACTGATTGCTAATCCTTCACACGAAAATAGTTTTGCAGCACTGAGAGAAATTTCTGCAACATTGTGCGAACAGCCTCAATTTAAATTAAATTCGACGTGCCTATTCAGACATTCTTTATTATGGTTAACAGGTTTACTTAAACTTAAAACGTTGCTTGCACTCCTTTATTGTTAAAAGCTCTCGTTAATTTATAACAAAAATATCGACCATTTTATGACAAAATTATAATACTCTCTAGAGAGAGGGACTTTAAAGCAAATTGCAATATTTGTATTTGACTTGATACTCCGGACAGGAATAAAGATTGAGCGAATAATTGATCAGCCAACTTTTAATTTACAACAGCCGCCTCAATGAAGACATCGCCAATTTTCTCATCAAATTTCAATATTTTTAATCGCACGTGGTATGTCAAGGCGGGCATTGCGACAGGAATTTTGTCCAGTGTAATTGTATAGTTGCGTATCTCAAACAGTTTGTTCTATAATTTAAGTGAAGTAATTTTTTGTTGTTGTTTTTTGTAAGAAGCGAATGCACTACTTACGGCCTGAACTGGGCAGCTTTTGGGTAAATTGCTCACTTTCTGCAGCCTGGTGAATATCTTGCCATAAAAGTTGTTTTTAAACGCGGACCTCAAGTACTGACAGCCATCGAGTTTGATGTGTGCCACGCTCATTTTGGTGTTATCCCTTTTCAGAATATCAAAATCCACCAGGACACTAAACTGTTTGACTGCCTCGTTGAGCTTGAAGCGCACGCTCATGGAAGGATCGTTGCGTTTTCTATTGAAAATGCAGCTGAACTCGTTCGTAATGGCAGGCACAAGGGCCGCACAGCTGAAGTTCTTGAGCGCCACAGTCAAAGGACGCTTTGTGAGTATAGTGAAAGTGAAAAGTGGAGAATGTTTAACTCAATCGGGAAGTAAGTTAATTGCCTACCTTAGCCTGACCAAGTGCCAGTAGAGTCAGCATTAAGAGCTGCCACAGCCAGGCTCGGTAATTCATGATTTTTCGAAAGAAGTCAATTTGAAAGCGATTCTCAACGCTTTTTATACAAAAAACTAATCTAGATGACTTGCATAATAAACAAATAAGCCTAATGAACTTTTAATGTGCGTATTAAAATAGTATACTAGATATATATTGGATTAATTTGTTGCACGTTTCAAATTGTGTCGCAATTTGTTGTATTTGTATTTTTAACAAAAATCAATTACGTTGAATTATGAAATCATAAATATATTTCAATAGTGCACAAACCTATCGAGTTCGAACCTGGAAACCCAGCACAAATCGGAAGGAAACTTTGTTTTCGGCCTGCAATATTGGCCATATCAATGCAGCTAAAGTAAGTTTTAAGGCCAAACTTTGTCAAATGGACAAGGCTTTAATAATAATAACTTAAGGATTAAACGATACCGATCTCCAATTTGTATATATATACAATAAACTCTTGTTTTAGAATTCGTAACAATTCTTTTAGTTTTGGTTCTAACTTGTAATCAAGTTCTTAACTTATATTGTAGACTTCTGTAGATCACAACATTTATGAATTTAACGCAGTATAACTCGATTTTCGGGCAAACAGACAAAACTTCTGGCAGTCAAGTGGGGTCAGTTATTCAAAAGATCAAAGATTTGGCGCTTAAGTGTTTTTGGAGTGGCACGCCGTGGAGCAGAATTGAAACCGAGTTTCGTTTATTGAGTTGTTATACTTTGGATTTTGTTGTTGTTGCTGTAGTTGTTGTTGTTGTGCTTGGAGTGCGTTACAAATGATGTTGCGCACCTTTGTGGAGCAGACAAAAGCAATTAGACGCCGTCTTTTGACAAGCTGAATGAAATAGTTGCAGCTCGAGATTGAGTTGAAGGATTGAGGATTGAGGAATGCCAAGAAGCAGGCGTTTATCGACTGGCACACAGCTCTGGCAGCTCGATGTCGACGTCGATGTCTAACTGAGTCAAGTCAAGTCAAGGGGGCGGGGAGGGGCTACTGTGGCAAGCGCCGCACAATGTATATAAACTCAAGTGGAGATGGCCATACAAAAAAGGTGTTAAAAAATTCTACTTTTTATGCTCTCAATATGATTTGATGGACATTTACGATATGAGGCAAAAATGTTTTTATACCCGTTGTCTGGCTGGCTTTGTTTTGTTTTTCTTTCTTTATTTGATATTACTTGATTTTATTTTAACTTTTTCCCTCTGCCCGCCCCACGCCTATTGTTTCAGTTGTTTGACAAGCGATGCGTACAAATCAAAGCAGGCAACAAAACTGCTGGACCCGGCGCTGCTCGGCCGGCTCTGGACTTGGTATCGCCACGAATCTCTTGAAGCTCGGCTTGTTTGATTAATAGCCGCACAATTGATATGTTAAGTGGTAAATTACGCCATTGGCACGCAAATGTGTCGGCCCGATAGACTCGACAAACGGCCAAATTGCTGTTCGTTTAAGGCGCCGCTAAGGTGCCAGCCTACCCGGCCGATCTCGATCTCGATCTTATCTGGCGACCAAAAGGCGGAGCTACGTGTGCACAAAGTGATTTAATTTTGAACGGAGAAAGTTAAACAGCCGCTGCCACAATTATTCAATTACCCAAAGATCTAGTGGGCAGACTCAAATAACTCTATTTCATTTAGCTTCAATTTCGAATGAAAAACTCCACATGCCATCAAGCTGGCCGAGCTGCTGCTTAAATTAATAGCCATTAGTCCAATTTTAACACGCTTTTGGGCAGCAGCAACAACAACAATAACAGTCCATTTTTAACTTTATGGTCTCATTTATATAATTTAATAAAACTGAGAGAGGCAAAAAAAAATACATTAAAGAAGTGGAAAAATGCACAGAAATCCATTTGAGACCTTTTTGCATATTCCAAATACAATAGAGAATGTCATTAAAATTTTGCCACGCCGTAAAAAAATCGATTAAAACACACAAAATGACAAAAAAAGAACACACACAATCGTTGAAGTGTTATAAAAATCATTTAAATGTCGCAATCGCCATCGAGTTTTATGGCCTAGTCTCGTATGGCTGGGATTCTCGGGTCTAACGAGCCTCAGCAACCGCTGAATGCTCAACTAAAATGATTTAATTTCGAAACGTGTCGTGCACATTTTATGATCGATTTCTATATAAATATATATACGCTATATATGTACGTATATGGATTGCCCATTATTGTCGCCGTATATTTCTAATCGATTTATTTTTATATTTTTAGACATGATATAGAAGGCGCTTGCTAAAAGATGTTGTTTTGTTTGCTTTTTTAATTTAGCTAGAAGTCTTAGATTTTAAACAACCAAATAAATACTTGCTCTGAGCTAATTTTTAGCTTAAAATATTCTAGATTTACTTAAAAATCGTATTAATTTTGTTTAAATGAACTTTAGAATACAAAAGCATAAAGCAGTTGCCCTAGTTTTAGGCAAACATAAATAAATAAAAGTAAAAATCACATAATACATAAACTCAATGAACTTCTCCAGTTTTGCCTATTTATTTGTTTTTAACAACTTTATCTTCGTATAAGATCACGAGAGTTGCCCTTATTTCGTATTTATTTAATGAAATTCTCAGCAGAACCCATAAATAAAGTGTGGCAAATTCTCTAAGCAACTTGTTGAAGTGTCATAAATAAAGCGAGAGCCAGCCATTGGGCTCTGGGCCAAAGCACCAGAGCAAAAGCAGCATAAAGCGCTTCAAGTGGTTGTCATTTAATAAACTACACACATCTACAGCTGGGCATGTGTGTGCATGTGTGTGCGTGTGTGTGTGTGTGTGTGTGCTGTGTGTTGTGTGTGCTGTGTGTGCCTGCCGATTGCTGTTATATGATTTCATATATCATCAACATACGCTGGAGACGACCAACTCGCCTCTCGCTGCTCACCCAACATAGGGCTGCCAGGCTGTTGTCTGTCTGACTCTTATCCCAATGCGCCCCTCCCCTGTTCCTTGCCGCACCCTGACCGACCAACTGCTTTCCCCCCTGGCTAGCCATTGAACAACTTGTTGAGCATTGCGCAGGCGTGCGGCATTTAGTTCAGGCTGTCCGCGTGCGCCTCTTGTTGTATTTTTTGATAACATTTTATTGTCCGCTTTATAAATTATTGGCGTTTGCCTCGTTCCCAGTTGCCAGTTGCCGGTTGCCAGTTGCCGGTTGCCCAGAGGGAGGGCACGGCGGGTCTGGTTTGGACTGGACCAAAAAGTATCCTTTTACGTGCACATTTTTTGGTATGCAGCGTGTGTCCAAATTTGTGCAGCGCAAATAAATACTAAAGTATATACTTAGACCCCCGTTCAGTTCAGTTCCGTTGGATTCGGTTCGGTTCGGGCTCTTGACGGCTCCGCACGGCTCTGTGTTGTTGGGCTGTGCGCGTGTTTTGGCCTTTTAGGGCTTGTCGCCCAACATAAAATTGAGTGTTGTTCTCCTTATTGTTGTTGTTGTTGTTGTTGCTGTTGGTAGTGTGAAAGTTGCTTTAAATATCGAGTAGCTGGTAACTGAAAGAGTTGGAGGCTGCGAGGAGCTGCCAACAAATCAAACCATTTATGTCCGATCCTCGATCACAGCTCAAAAGACGCACATTCATCATCGTCAAGTGGCAGCAACAATTCAGCCCCGCACTCTGCCCGCAAATGCAGGGCTCAAGTGCTCCCTGCACCTGTCTACCGAACTTCGGAGCTGTCCTTCAATTATATAGCACACCCGCTGTGCTCTACTGGAGCTGAGCTGAGCCGAGCACTGCTGAATTCTAACTGGAGCCCAGCTCATACACTGCTAGAACTTTATTTCTCGAGAGATGAACAGAGAGAGAGAGAGGGAGAGTGAGAGAGAGGGGGAAGTAAGAGAGAGAGAGAGAGAGAGTGAGCAGGGCAGCGCTTAAATGTGGATTCTGTCTGGTATTTCAATTATGCCTTAAAACTCGGTATCTTATACGAGACTCACGGCGCATGATCAATCGAAATGATATAATTATATCCCAGAGCCGCTGGGCTCTGTGTAAATTGATATCAACAAATTACGCGAAAAAATTTCAAAAATATTAACGAATGTGAATGATATAATGATGAGATGACGATTGTGGAAGACACTGAGCCAAAACAAAAAAAATTAATAATAACAGGGATATACGAAAAAACAACAAATTATACAAAAACCAAAAATGTATCAATTATCCAATATATCATTTGTTTCCTTAAAGAAAATGTATAACAAGTTACAATTGGTATATTTTTAAAATATTTATTTATATTTGATATTATTTCTCGACAAAATGTAAATACTTTTACCAGACTTCCAATTCCCTACATTTTATCAAAACTTTGTAGAATTTACAACAAATTGAGATCCACATTTGTCTCTAATTAATTAATTTAATTTTTTTTAAATTTAAGTTGTGTTTTTATTATTTTTTAAAAATTGTTTTCCCTTTCTTTATAGCTTGTTAGATAAGTTTTCTTTCAGTGCATGGCTCCCCTAATTATGCCCAATTTAAAAAGGGTTAATTAAGGCACAAAACGCAGCACACGAAATGTCCCCATCCGGGGCGTTATTAATATGCGACATTTCTGATATCTTTTTGCCCCAGAGGCATGAGACATGGCAGACGGGCAGACGGGCAGACATAAAGGTACTAAGTCTGAGAGTCCTTCTGTGCGATCAATGCTACAAAATATATACAATAATTACATACAGCATTTGTCATAACACCAGATATGGACAGAATGCTTGTTGCTGTTGGCCTGGCTGTTGGTTTGGGCGCGAATGGCCAACAGATCGGCTCCGGGCCAGGCCCAAACTATGCGACAAATGTACGCAAAAAATTGTAAATATCATCATCGACAACGTCGCATCAGCATCAGCCGAAGATCTGATGAGGGGGGCGGTTCGGGGACGAAGAGTGAGTGAGTGCTTGGTTAGGATGCCTACGAGCTAAAATGATGGGCATTTTATAAATAAAACAAAATCATAAATGATGCGCCTGCCAGAGGCAAGGAC